CACGGCACCCAAACCCATCGCGCGTGCCATCCACCTGTCGGCTGCGCCGCAGCATCGCGCGTTCAAGTCGGGAGGCGCGGCTTCGGACGGCCATCAGACGGCCAACAACGGCGGTTTGACGCTACCGCCCATCCAGCCGCGTCGACAGCCCAAGGGTCAGCCGACCGAGTTCCTCAAGGTCAACTTCCAGGCTCGCACCAACAGCCGTCTGCGCAAGGATGCCATGTCGAAGCTATGCGCCAGTCCGCGTGCTGCCAGCTTTGGCGGCAATGGCATGAGCTTCGGATCAAGGCTGTCGAGCGCCGGCAGCAGCGTGGGTGGATCGGCCGCGCCCTGATTTTTCTCGCACTTTGTTTCCTCGATCGAAGTAGTTGATTGTTTTGTAGGTCCGTGTGTCATACGTTTCGAATGCATCTATCAGGTTTCACAAGCAGCGGGCAGCGCACAAGAGAGAGAGAGATGGTGTTGTTTGTGACCGCGTAACTGTTTTGCTGCTCAAAGTCGATACATTCAGCCTGGTCCCGACGAATCGCTTCCAGACGGCAGAGCATGACAGCAAGCTTGGGCGGAAGGGTTACTTGATGCAACAGGGTTGAGGGCTGCCAGTCGAGAAAGTATTTTCTTTCTTCTTGCGATGTGTAGCAGTCGGCATGAAGGTGACTGCCAAAGTGCCTGTGTGACTCGCTGGAGATGCTCCACATATTTTATCCCGCACCTTTTCTTTCTTGGCTTTTGCCTTATCTTAGGTACGCACCGCGGCCACAAGCACGGCGAATTTCGAGTCGAGCAAAAAGTCGGGGCGAGTCAGAAACTTGTGACTATCTTTCTTCTCATCATCACCATCTTCATCGCATCTGATCGTAGCATCGGATCCACCTACCACGCTACAACCTGAATCTGTCTCCGACTTACTACTACATCAGTTTGTCACATCTGTCAACGCGATTGCTGTGGACCTTGTCACTATGGCCGCCACTCGCGTCGCAGTCGCGTCGGCAATGAGGCGACCTGTCGCTGCTCCTCTGCTGATGCGACAGCCGGCCCGTCTCCTCGCCACACACGCTGCCAGCAACACCAAGAAGCCATGTGCAGACTACATCTCCCTCTCGCACCCGGACGGAGACGCATCTCGCGGCTCAAAGATCGCAGACACCCTCGACCGCTTCTCCCACTCTGTCCTCGCCACCTACTCCCGTCCCCAACTCATTTTTACCCGCGGCAACGGTCTCGACCTTTATGCTGCCGCTGATCCCAACACAAACGCCGGCCACAACGAACGCAAGTACCTCGATTTCTCTTCCGGTATCGCCGTCAACTCGTTGGGTCACGCCGATCCCAAGATCGCCGAGATCGCCGCCGAGCAGAGCGCAAAGCTTGTGCACGCCAGCAACCTGTACCACAACGAATGGTCGGGCGAGCTCGCCGATCGCATGGTCACCTTGACACATCAGCTTGGCGGTCTCGGCTTCGAGAAGGGCTCCAAGCCCACCGAGAGCGGCACAGCCGGTCTCAAGGTGTTCTTGGCCAATTCGGGCACAGAAGCCAACGAGGCTGCGCTCAAGTTTGCCCGTAAAGCGGCAAAGAACCACCCGGGCAAAGGCGGTGCTCAAAAGACCGGTCTGGTCAGCTTCACCAACGCCTTTCATGGCAGGACCATGGGTGCGCTCGCCATGACGCCCAACCCCAAGTACCAGGCTCCGTTTGCCCCTCTGATCGGGGACGTTCGTACCGGAACTTACAACGATGTTGCCGGCGTCGATTCGCTCGTCGACGAGACTACGGCGGGTGTGATCGTCGAGCCGGTTCAGGGTGAGGGTGGTATCTACCCTGCCTCGTTGGAATTCTTGCAAGCGCTGAGGAAGAGGTGCGACGAGGTGGGTGCCATGCTCATCTACGACGAGATCCAGTGCGGGCTCTTCCGCGCAGGTACGCTGTGGTGCCACAGCGACTACCCCACCTCGGCACACCCGGATATGGTGACCATGGCCAAGCCCCTCGCCAATGGCTTCCCCATCGGTGCCGTCCTCATCCGCGACAGCGTCGCCAACCTCATCGCCGTCGGTGATCACGGTACCACGTTCGGCGGCGGACCGCTTACCAGCCGCATCGCGCACCACGTGCTCGGCCGGCTGTCGAGCAACGAGCTGGGCGAGTCGATGAAGGAGTCTTCGCAGGCTCTGTTTGGTCGACTGAACAACTTGGTCGCCATGTTCCCCGATCTCTTGCTCAACGATCCTGAAGGTGGTAAGCCGAGTCCGCGAGGCAAAGGTCTCATCGTCGGTGTCAGTACCAAGGATCCTTCGCACGCGGGTAAGGTTGTGCAGCTCGCTCGTCAGCGCGGGCTGCTCATCCTGACCGCTGGATCGGACACCATCAGGATCCTGCCCAGTTTGACCGTGACGAGGGAGCAGGTGGACAAGGCGGTGGATATCATCGAATCGTGCCTGCTGGTCGTGCGGGATGAAGTGCAGCGATCGTCGTCGTCTGCTTCCGCTTCCGCACACTCTTCCAGCAGTGCTGGTCAGCAGCAGGTTCGAGCGTTCTCTTCGTCCTCCCGAGCTTCCGCCGATGCTACAGCTGCCAGCGCCGAAGACATCCAATCTGTCTACGCGCAATTCGTCTCCCTCGGCCAATCATGGCCCAAAGACCCGCTGCGTCCGGACATCAACTTTGGAGCTTCGATCATCAGCGCAGCTCAAACAGCCCTGCTCTCCCCCCAATCTCAGGCATCTCTGCATCCGGAACAGGTCCACGCCAAGCAACCCGGCGATCCCCTCCCGACCCCGCTGCCGGGGACGAAGAGCCTCACGGTGGACGAGGTCGAGTACGCCAAGAGGAGTCTGGAGCTGCTCAAGGAGCTGAAGGACGACAAGGTGAAAGGAAGGTACGTGCTGGGCGAGGAGATGATGAGGCCCAAGAGCATGCCAGAGTACTACGAGAGGTTGAAGAGGAGTATCGATCGGGCGGTGGGTGGTCAGAGCGTTAGTATGGGGTGGGGGGAGTGGTTCAGGAGGTTTTTGGGGAGGGAGTGAACGTATGCACGCTGTGTAGGGAACGTTGATTTGATAAATATGGTTTGAACTCTCGAGACTGGATACAGAGAGAATGTGCGTGTTTTACTTGGAAGAAGTGGATTCGAGGTGATCAGGGTACCTGAAGTCATTGTCGTAGCGGACCTTGTCCATGATCTTCATGGTCAAGATACTTTCCTTGAGCGAGCATCTTTCCTCCTCGCTCTTTCCATCACGGATCGCCCTTGCGCAAGCATCTGCTTCCCAAAACATGCCATGTCCTGGAATCTCATATTTGCGCGTGTCTTCCTTTCCGGTCCACTTTCCATCGTCGTCCTTTTCGCGGATGGTGAAGCTCTCCGGACGGTAGGGGGGCCAATCCACGGTGAGGTCTGCTTTGGTACCTTGGATGAGCACCACGTGAGGCGAGGAACGGATGGTCATGTTCGTAGTAGCTACACCTTGAGTTCGGGCGGTGGGGAAGTTGAGGAGGATGGTGGTGAACTCGTCGACGCCCGTGAGGTCGGATTTGATGATAGAGCCTTTGACGTCAGGAGCGGTGGCCTTGTTTTTGGGATCCTGGTAGAGCGTCAACATCTGCCATGTCAAGGCGTAGATTCCCAGATCCAACAGCGCACCACCTCCCAACTCCGGGTTGTACAACCTATGCTTCGGGTCCGGCTTGAACGGGTTTCCAAAATCGCTAAACACCCTCCTAATCTCACCCAGCACCTTCTCCTCGTGAATCAGCCTCTGCAGCTCGATCACCAGCGGGAAGAATCGAATCCAAACCGCCTCCATCAAAAACAGCTTTTTCTGCCTCGCCACCTCCACCAAGTGCTCCGCCTGTGCTGCGTTGATGGTGAAGGGTTTTTCGCAGCAGACGTGCTTGCCGGCGTTGAGCGCCAGAAGACAGTTCTCGTAGTGGTGAGAGTGCGGAGTGGCGACGTAGATGATCGAGACGTTGGGGTCGGCCACGAGTTCCTCGTAGGAGCCGTAGGCAGCGGCGGTGTTGGCAGGTACGCCGACTTTGGTGAGGAACTCGGATGCGCGGGAGGCAGAGGTGGACGAGGCAACCGCGGTGATGGTGTGCTTGACATCGGAGACGGAGCGCGAGGAGGGGGCGACGAGAAGGTCTTTGGAGAACATCTCGGCGATCCAGCCGGTGGCTAGGATGCCCCATTTGCATTCGTACGGAGAAGACATTGTCACGAACGAGAGGGGAGGTGATGGTGTGGTGATGAATGGAACGGTGTGGACAACAGTCGGCGCGATATCTAAATACTCAGCTGCCAGAAGGAGCGAACGGGCCAGGCCAATAGAGTGAGTGGAGCAACCACGGAAGAATTCTCAGATCGCCGTCATATCCAGTCGAGTCCTTCCTACAGCAGCGAGGGGTCTCCGAGTGATTATCCGCACTGCGGGCGTTCAGTCATCATCATCAAACTGCATAGCCGCTCTTGCCCCCACGCTGCCATGTTGCAGGACAAGTAACCCCGCCGGGCGTGTGACTCTGTGCATGACGTCGATATGAATGCCGCTTCCGCTTGCCAAAAGTCGCCGGTCTCGGTCCGAATTTTCGCCGCCCGATGCAACCTCAAAAGTGCTGATCTAACATTTTGTTGAATGTGTTTTGTGCTCTAACAAAATTGCTCGGCTTTGGCCGATACGGAGAAGGCACAGAATAACCGTTTGACATAGCTCAAATCTCCTGTCCCCAATCTAACAATAACGCCTCTGGCCGCTGGAAAACGAGGCTCGCTGATTGGATTTCTAGGTGTGGTGACCGGCTGTTGAAAGTGACCGGACCAAAGCTTGCACTTGCGAGAGAGAGGGAATTGCGTGTGAAGCGAGGCAGCCGGCACTTCTTGGGACTGTTACCCCACACGTCGTTCTCGAACCACCATATCCAGGACGCTCCCACTTTCCCCTTCCTGCCTTTAAAACATTACCCCCAAGGACCTATTGCGACAATTCGAGAGGGCCATGTCGAGCAACACATCTTCAGCCGCGCAAAAGGCGCCACCAGCAGCTGCAGCTGCGGAAGACGACGTCGACGATCTGGATGATCTGGATGGTAAGTGCTTCGCCATACGTACTGCAATTGACCCCGAATTGAATGCTAACTTTGTACGTCTCTGCTCCGTGATGTGATGGTGGCAGATGTGCTGGACGAGTTCAACCAGCCTTCCGGCTCTGCATCGACTCAGAAGCCAAGTTCATCTCTGGGGACTGCGTCCGATGCAACGGCTACTGCAGCAACGTCGACGACGACAGCAGCAAAGGACACGTCATCCACAACGGCTGGAACAGCAGCAACAGCGCCAGGAGGAGTTGCAGGGGCCGAAGACGATGCTGGGCTCGACGATATGCTCTCGGAAGACTTCGCAAAGGAGCTGGCACAAGGCATGCAAGCACTGATGAAGGAGCTCGGCGGTGAGGCCAACACCAACGCTGAAGGATTGCTCAGTGGCGCTGGAGCGAATGCAGGTGCAGGTGCAGCTGGAGGTCAAGAGTTCAACGAGCAGGAGCTGATGAAACAGTTTGAAGCTATGATGGCTGGGTTTGGCGGCGCTGGTGCGGCAGCTGGAGCTGCCAGTTCGGACGCCGGGCCGTCTGCACGATCGGCTCCCGCCGCATCGGCCAGCACCGCCCCCACAAAACCAGGCAACTTCAACGATGCGATCGCAGCCACCATGGCCAAGCTCAAAGAGTCGGACGCATCCGCCACCGCCGACTCCGCCTCGTCCGACAACCCCTTCGCCGGTCTCTCGGGTGCCGAGGGCGAAGAGATGGCTAAACTGCTCGCCGCTCTCGGCGGCTCGGGCGATCTGTCTGGTCTGGAAGGAGCGATGGACAATCCGGAGCTAACAAAAATGCTCGAAGGCATGATGGACGAACTCATGTCCCGCGACATCCTCTACGAACCGCTCAAGGAGCTGCGAGACAAATACCCCCCTTACCTCGCCGGTTCCGAATCGGCGGGCATCTCGGCAGAGGACAGAAAGAGGTACGAAGAGCAGAGCAGGTACATCACCGAGATCGTCAAGATCTTTGACGAACCAGGGTACGATGCCAAGGACAAGGTCAAGGCGGCTAAGGTGCAGGAGCTGATGAACCAGATGCAGGATTGTGGTAGTCCGCCGAAGGAGATTGTCGGGGACATGCCTGCCGAGTTGGAGAACATGCCTGGATTCGGTGGTGCTGGTGGTGCGGGTAACGAGGAGTGCACTATTATGTAGCCGGCGAATCACAAGCCGTCATCGTGTCACACCAACTCGAGGTCTCAGTAGTGTATATCTGCGAGAATGAGACGATGATTCTGTGCTCAGAGATGGCAAAAAGGTGTAACGTACAGCAGCAGTATCGACTTTTTTTGGGTGAGAACGTGCGAAGTGTGAAAGCCGAGACCAGCGGAACGCAAGAACAGGCAGCTCTGTGGAAATTGGGCAGGGGATGCTCACGTGACGCGCAACACGCGCCCGTCGAGACCAACACACGTCTCCATTTCGGAGCGGGGAGCGATAGCAGCGGCCCTCATCCGATTCAAAGCCAACCTCTTGAACGACGGACATCACCATGCAGCTTTCCACTTCGGGACTACCAAGGTTGTTGCGCGCGAGTCGGATCATGCGAAAGCGACAAGTACGAGATTGTCCCTCGGACCACAGGTGCAATCAGCAGCGTCTTTGCCGTTCGGGGCAATCATACCGCAGTGAAAACGAGTACCATAGTCAACATCATCTTTATGGGTATACGCTGCCAGTGCGATGCGGCGGTGTACACGACTAGCTTGGTCCATGATGGTGCCTGTCCATACAAGACGATGGGGAGGACGGGAGCAGAGTGTATTCGAAATTTCAATTTGCAAGTGGCCCCTGAGTGACGCGCTCCGAATACAAATCCGAGACACGCTTCGAATTCAAGCCCGAGAACAACACCATTACAAAACTCGAAAGACCCCTTTTTGGCTCCCTTTCATACAGCCTCGCTCTCCTGTCTCTCAACTAATCTTACCTCGCTCGTGCCTTCTGCTTCATCGTCGGTCGGCTTGTTGCTCGAGACCAAAGACGTACTGTACTCTGTGTGTAGTGAGACAAGCGGAACAAGCTGGCCGCAAAAGGGTTTGGGCTTCTGCCAGCTTGGCAAGTGTGGGATGTTGAGCTTCTTGTGATTATAGAAAGGGACGAAAACAGGGTCTGCTCGTCATCGATCTCGAGTAGTGGCAGAGATGCAGGGTTTTGGCTTTGTGGCTTTGTGAGCTTGTCGGCTGTGTCTGAGAAGCTTGAATGCGCGCGCTCAGTCTCTGCCTACTGCTGACAGGGTCGGAAAGCGAGGCCGATGCGGTCCCCTCGTTCCCCTTTTGTGGTTCCCCCTGAAAAGCTAAATTCTGTGCGGCAGCTCCGACTCAGCAAGCAGCGCAGCCGTGCAGAGTTGTGCAGCTTCCTTCCCGTTTCGAGCTGGAGTCGAAGTTAGAATCAACTCTGTCTCCCTCCACCGCGAGCACCGTCACCACCACCAACGTCAACGACAACAACGGTATCGTCACTACTTTCCCGCCCAACGGCACGAACGACGTCCACACGGCACGATACAACGACGGTCTTTCCTCGCTCCCACTGACGCTTCATCCAGTACCGACAAGACTGGACGTTCGCCTACACAGTCCTTCCCGGATACAATTGCTAGGATCAGACAGTGTTCTCCGATCAAGAGCAAACAAACCCATCCACGGAATTGCAGCATTAGACATACACGCGAGCCATCATAGCGCTTGGCTGGAGCATTCAATCAGTGGTCAGGACCATCACTCAGAAGTTTCTTTTTCGAGTTGACACCCGCTCAAGTGCGCATCCATTCAGACCCGTCTCCGAGACTAGAGTACCGTCGATATGATGGACCAACAGGCCAAGCCGACGCTCCCGGCTGCCAGCCCCAACGCCCGCGGCAGCCCCTTTGCCTACCAGTCCAAGTACCTCGAGCGGTCCGCATCTCGTAGCAGCACCTTTTCGCTCTCCAACTCTTACGACACCACGCCACGCACAGGTCTTCAACACGCCCCCTCCACAAGACGCTTCCCCGCTCCGCACCGTCACACCGCCTCGCTTGACCCTCAACGTGCTGCAGAGCTCCGCGCTGCCGCTTCTGCTAGCAGCCCTACAAATTCTCCGTTCGGCGCATCCTCAGGTGCTTTTGGATCCAACGGAAGCCTCCACAGCTCTGGTTCCAACCATTCGGTCGGAGCTGCCGCTACCTCCCCGACTCCTGCCACCTTCAGCAAAGCTACTTTCCCAGCAGCTTCGCGAGGCGTCAACGGTCGACCCACTTCCATGCCTCCAGCACCACGCGACAACCTCTTCAACTCGTCTACAGTCGGACGTGCGCGGGCATACTCGCCTACCAAGGATCTTCACGACCGCGCAGTCTCGCCCACCAAGAACCTCAGCCATGACTCGCCACTCTCCTCGCCCAGGAAGGACGACAGCTCTTGGATCCAGTCGCCCTCGACGCCCAAGCAGGGAAGCTTTTGGAGCAACGGTGTCAATGGCGCCAATGCTGGGTCAACTGCTGGCGGTCCTTCGCAGCTCCACCTCGGAGGCGTCAAGGATCTCAAACGCTCCAGCGTCGGTGCGCTCAAGATGATCAGGGACTTTACCCAAAAGACCGACGATCTTGGCGCCATGGGCGATCAACATGGTCACACTCGTATGACCGTCGGGCGCTCGCGAGGTCAACGCACACAGAGCATGGATGCATCCGGCGGCCCGCTCGCAGACCGTCTAAACAGCCTCAATCTCGAACCTACTATCGAGGAGGGATGGCAAAAGCCAGGACGACCAGGACGCATGGAGAGCGAGGATCAGGAGGGCGAGATCGTCCTTCCCGGTATCACCACGGGCGCCGAGGATGTCGCCGGTCTTCAGGGTCGTATCCGCCTAGCCCGTGCAGATGGTCCAGGCACCATGGCTCTCGGCCGTCCCACTACTTCCAACCTTCCCTTCACCAGCTCGAGCAAGTGGATGGACACGCAGCGTCACCTTCTCCAGGCGTACGAGTACCTTTGTCACTGTGGAGAGGCCAAGGAGTGGATGGAGCTTCACGTAGGCGAGCACCTCGGGGACGTCGTCGAGATGGAAAACGAGATGCGTAACGGTATCTTCCTCGCCAAGCTTGCCAAGAAGTTCGAGCCCGACTGCGTTCCTCGCATCTTTGTCCATCCCAAGCTCCAGTACCGCCACACCGACAACATCAACTACTTTTTCTCCTTCATCAACAAGGTCGGGCTACCGCACTTCTTTCAGTTCGAGCTGACCGACCTGTACGAGAAGAAGAACTTCCCCAAGATTGTCTACTGCATCCACGCGCTCAGTCACGTTCTCGCACGGCAAGGAAGGGCGCTCAAGGTGGGCAACCTCATCGGCAAGCTCGAATTTACTGACGACCAGCTTCAAAAGACCCAAAAGGGCCTCGATGCGTCCGGTGTCGCCATGCCCTCGTTCGGCGGTGTCGGCAAGGCGCTGGCCAAGGAGATGAACATCGAGCCGGAGCCCGAACCAGAGACGGAGCAGGAACGCATCGACCGCGAACTAATGGAGAACATCGACGCTGTCGTGGCACTGCAGACCGCATCGCGCGCCTTTGTCGCTAGGATGCGCTTCGCCGATCGTCTCCACGCCGAGATCCAGCGTCGTCACGAGGAAGAGGCGCGATTGGCGGCGGCGGCGGAAGCAGAGCGGGTCCGACAGCGTCGAGCAGAAGAGGATCGCATCGTATCCCGCTGGACTCCTGTGGTGCAGGCCCAGATTCGAGGCGTCCTTGCTCGACGCACCCACCATCGCAAGCAGGCAGCTCTTCAGACCAGCACACGCACCTTTGTCGGCTTGCAAGCTGCTGTACGAGCCAAGCTCGCTCGCCAGTCCCACGTAGAGCACGTCAAGCGCGTCCACGATTTCAGCAACGCCCGCGCCATCGAGAAGTTCCAGGCGTGCGCGAGGGGCGCCCTCTACCGTCGTCGATGTTTTGAGAAGATCAAGGCGCTCGACAAGCACGAGACCGGCGTGGTCGGCTTGCAGGCACAGATCCGTGGCCGCCTGGCACGCGCGGCGTACGAGCATCGCATCTACCGTCTTGCCGATTCCACTGAGGACGTCATTCGATTGCAGGCTGCCTGCCGATCCGTGCTTGCCAAGCAGAAGCTGTTGGGCACGATCCGTGGCTTGCGCAGCTCGAACGATGCGATCACTGCCATGCAGGCGCAGATCCGTGGCGTGTTGGCACGCAAAAACCACGTCAGGATGAGCTCGGCGTTGCAAAAAGTCGAGGTCAAGGCGGCTGTCGGTGGCTTGCAGTCCTTCGCCCGCGCTGCCCTCGCGCGCCGCAAGCACCAGGAGCAAAAGAAGCAACTCGACTTTGTCACTCCTGACGTTGTCGGGATCCAGGCCGCTATCCGAGGTATGCTGGTACGCCTCGAGTACGATTGGTGGAGGAACCACATCATCCAAAGCGAGCCCGTCGCCATTCACCTGCAATCTCTCATCCGAGGCGCTCTCAGCCGCCGCCAGTTCTTCTCGCGCCTGCGCCACTACCACGAGCACATGGACAAGGTCGTCAAGATCCAAAGCCTCTTCCGTGGTCGACAGCAGGGCGAGCAGTACCGCAGCTTGACCATGGGCAAGAATGTGCCCGTCGCCACCATCAAGAACTTTGGTCATTTGCTCAACGATTCCGACGCCGATTTCGAGGACGAGATCGAGGTCGAGCGTCTGCGCAAGCTCGTCGTTCAGGCGATCCGTGAGTCGCAGACACTCGAGAGCGATGTTGCGGAGCTCGATACAAAGATCGCATTGCTCGTCAAGAACAAGATCGGCATCGAAGAGCTGATCAAGGCCAAGAACGAGCGTGGACTGCTCGGACAGCGTGAGGCGGCCGCGGCGGTGCAGAAGCGAAATTCGGTGCTGGTGGCTGCCAACGATCCCTTCGCCGACCATGCGCTGGATCGCGCCTCGAGGAGGAAGTTTGAACTGTACCAGGAGCTCTTCTATGCCCTGCAGACGCGACCCGAGTATCTGGCTCGTCTCTTTGCCCGCGTCGGCAAGATCGACATGGCCGACCGGGACAAGCGGCAGGTGGAGAAGATCGTGCTGACGCTTTTCGGATATGCGCAAAAGGCCAGGGAAGAGTTTCTGCTGCTCAAGCTGTTCCAGCGATGTGTCGAGGAGGAGCTCGGCTTCGTTTCGACGGTGCAAGAGTTCATTCGAGGCAATGCGCAGTTTATCAAGCTGGTCGCGCAGTACAATCGCGGCGCTCGAGAGCGCAAGTATCTCAAGGATTTGCTGGCGCCGCTGGTGTCGGACATCATGACGCAAGAAGGCCTCGATCTCGAGACGGACCCTTGCGCCATCTACCGCGCCACGATCAACCAGGAGGAGATGGAGACGGGCCAGCCTTCGCGCCGTCCTCTCGAGGTAGCCTTCAACGAGGCTCTTGCCGACCCCATGGCGCGGACCATCTTTATCCGTCACCTCCAATCTCTGCGTGCAACCACCGACGCGTTCCTGTCCGCCATCCTCGCTTCCACCCGCAAGATGCCGTACGGTGTGCGCTACTACGCACGTGAAGTGTTCCGCGCCCTCCAGTCCAAGTTCCCGGACGAGCCGTCGGACGCGCTCATCAAGGTCGTCGGACATCTGGTGTACTACCGCTACCTCAACCCGGCCATCGTTGCGCCAGAGGGATTCGATGTCGTGGAGACGCTCGTCGGACCTGTCCAGCGCAAGAACCTGGCCGAGGTGTCCAAGATGCTCACGCAGATCGCCGTCGGTCGACTGTTCAACGACGACAACCCGTACCTGCAGCCTTTGAACGACTACGTCTCGCACGCGTCCGAGCGGTTCACCAAGTGGCTCTACACCATCATCGACTGCATCGATGCCGAGATGCAGTTCAGCGCAGACGAATTCCTCGACCACACTGTGCAGAAGCCGGTCATCTACATTTCGCCCAACGAGATCTACTCGATGCACCTCTTGCTCTCCCAACAGCTCGACCATCTGGCACCTCAAGCGGAAGATCCGCTCCGGGTGATCCTGAAGGAGTTGGGGGCGGCGCCAGTGTCCAACACGCAGGAGCTGAACAGCGCACGCGATAGCGAGATCACGTTCGAGCTCGTTTCGCGGATGGCGACGCTGCAGGATCCAGAGGCGGATATGAAGGCGTTGTTCGTCGAGACCAAGCGGTTGGTGTTGAGTTTGCTCAAGGTTCAGTCGGGCAAGACGTTGGTGGATGTGTTTGTGGCGCCGGTGACCGAGGTGGAGGAGAGGCAGTGGGAGGAGATTGTGGTGTTTGAAGCGAACCAGCCGCGGACGCATCAGAGTGGGGGTGGGGGGAGGTTGGAGGATGTCCGACGGATGAGTTTTGCAGAACTCAAGGCTAGGACGTTGGAGAACATGTTGCGCTTGGAACAGCTCGGCAAGGTTTCGCGGGCGAACAAGTATCAGGATATGCTGAATGCGATTGCGATCGATATTCGCAACAAGCACAGGAAGAGGATTCAGCGGGCGAACGAGAAGCAGGCGATGAATGGAACGCTCACGACGTTGGCCGAGAAGAAGAGGTACCTCGAAGAGCAGATTGGAAGCTACCACTCGTACATCGATGCCAGCATGCAGACGATGCAAGGGGGTAGGAAGGGGAAGAAGAGGTTTGTACTGCCGTTCAGTCAGCAGTACTTCCATCTGAGGAGTTTGAAGGCGAATGGAGGTAAGGTGCCGAAGTTTGGAAGTTATCGGTATGGAGCGGGGAAGTTGATGGAGAAGGGCGTGTTGGTGAGGATGGATGGTGTGGTGGGAGGGAAGGGTGAGGGAGGGATGGTTAGTAGTGGAAGTGGTGGGGTGAGGGAAGGCGCGGGAGAGGTGAATTTGACCATCAGCTCGGATCAGGCGGGTGTGTTTAGCATCGAGGTACTCAACGGTCCGGCGGCAGGTGCGAGTCAGGACGTCAGGATCGAGGATCTGCTCGAGAGTCAGTTCAACTCCCAGTCCACGCTCGCCTTGTTGGATGGAAGGATGGAGGTCAGCGTCAACCTGTTGGTTCATCTGATCAACAAGAAGTTCTACGCGTAAAGACCCCACCCGCAGGTGGTTTTCGTTTTTCGTTTTCGTTTTCCGTAAGGATGTGTCCGACATCATCACAGTCGACACTTTCCATTTTTGGTTCCCGTTTCATGATCCGCTTCGTAACAATGGCTCGCTTATGTCTTATGTATTCTATGTTCTAGCTCGTTCATCAATTCTTTTGGAACGTCTTTCAAGGTTGACATCTGGATTCATAACGACCGGTCGATGTGTGTCGACATAGCGACTCCCCGTCTGACATGAGAATGGACTTGACCGCTGCCGTTGGGCACATCGACAACGTTGCTCACCACCGCCGAGGGACACACGTCTCACGCTCCTCGCACATCTTCATCAGCTGTCAACAGCTTTCTATTTCACAGTGAACTGGTCTGCGTCGTCCATCTTTTACCCACGCTTACGTTTGCCCGGTCGACCACCGCCACCGCCGCTTCCCCCTCCGCCATGCTGACGCTGACGCTGGTGCTGATGTCGACCGCCATGCTGATGGCCACGGTTACGACCCGCCGTCTTGACATTTGCACTTGCACTTTGCGAGGCCGCAGCAACGGCAGTCGCAGCGCCACCCTTCCTCCCGCTCTCTACAACATCCTTCCAGGTCAAATCCACCGCTTTGACCAGTGTGGCTCGGGGCATCTCCATGAGCATCTCATCCACTTTGGCTCTGACTTTATTCGCCGCGTCGGCAGAAACATCAGCGGGTAGGCAGAGATCCAGCAGACCGAGCATGAACAGGCCGGGATGGGTAGTGCTCGAAGTGTACGAGGCCGAGCTGAGGGCGCGACTGAAGTGGCTGCTCGCATCGGTGGAGGAAGACGTGCCGGTCGAGGGTGCAGATATGCGCTCGCCCTTGATCAGTCGCAGGACGATCTCGACGAACGCTCGAGCAACTCGTGCATCGCGTTGACCTTCCGTTTCTTCCTTAGCCTGCTCCGCTGCGTCTTCGGTCTTGGTCGGTGTCTTGCTCAGATCCGCCTCTCCGTCCCCCTCTACTTTGACTTTCGCTGTTTCCTCTGCGCCTCGCTCCCTCTTCTTCCTACCGAGAAGCTCATCGACAAATTTGCGTCTCTCCCTCTGACTTCCGATGAACGACTCCTTCACCCACTCGTAGAGGAACGTCGACATGGACGGAGGCGGATCTGGATCCATCACTTCGATCTTGCCGGCCCAAACGTGCTGCACCGTTGCCGCTGACGCAGAAGCATCGAATTTCTGAGCAACAGCAGTGCTGCCACGTTGGAGGCTGGCCAGAAGATCGTCGACGTCGTTCTTTCGAAGCCATGCCGGTTCGGGAAGCGGAGCCGAAGGATCCAGATGCACCTGCAGAACCACTTCAGAACTGGACCCGTCGAGACGGAAAAAGGGAGGAAGCTCGAGGTGCTCGTCCTGCGATGCCTCGTTCTCTCTGGTATGGTCTGTGTTGGCGGCCTCGAAAGCGTTCCAAGCGGCTTCGATATCGCTGCGTGTCAGTGCCGCGTAATTCTTTTGCCCTTTGCCTCGCCTTTCCAGCAATGTGCCCCTGCATGCAAAAAAGTCTTCGCCCTTTTTGCGTGCAGACTGGTCGGCCTGGCGCGCAACATCGATTCGGATCTCGATCCAGTGCTCGGAACGATGGATCTTGACAGATTTGATGGCTTCGGCGTCGATGGCAAGGCGTTTCCTGTTGGCAGCGAACGACAGAAAGATACGATTCGAGGACAGCTGAGGTGGGCCTTTGGCCTGAGGGCTCGTGTTGACTCGAGCGTGTTTGCCGTTCAATGTGGTGGAAGACGCCGTTGTATCGACGGCAGCCTGGCTGGTCGAGACATTGTGCGTCCCCGTACCCTCCTCCTGGACTCCCGTTGATGCTACAGCCGAGTCCAACTCCGACTCTACCCCTGCATCCTTATTCGCTGGAGCAAGGTCCACAGACTTGGCAGAATCGTTCTGATCCAGGTTCTTGAGCTGCTGGCCAGCTTGGGGTTCGCCAGAGCTCGTTAAATGCACTCCTTCGTCCGCATCTGGGATCGTGACGTCCTCCGCTTTGCCCTTCAATTCCACATCTTCGGCAGAGCCGCTCTCCCCTGGAAGGTTTTGCCGACCTTCCTCTTTCACTTTATCAGGAGCATCGGGTCTCTGCTGGGCCTGATCCACAGGTACCTCATTCCGAGTCGCATCCTCGACTTTGACCTCTGGTTCCTGCGTCAAGGAGGCTTTCGGTCCGGTGGGAGCGCCTTCCGGTCCTGGATTGGACATGGCAGCAAAGCAGAGACGGAGTTTGGTCGAGTCGCGAAGATTGGAAATAACCTTGGCTCGACTGGCTTTCGACATTTTACTGGACTGCGTCGGAAGCTTCTCAGAAGCCTTGACCAATTCGCTGCTGGGATCCGATGTCGGCGCCATCGATTGCTGTGGCTCGGAAGCCGCCGCGTCGGTGTCAGCAAGGGACATTGTTGTGTCTCCTTCAGCGTTAGCGTCAGCATCCGCATCGATGTGACTCTGAGCATGTTCGTCGTCATCCGCTTCAGCATCGCCTTGGCCGTCGTCGCCATCGTCATCGTCATCGTCACCCTCGGCATCTTCGTCTTCGTCTTCATCATCAGAGTTCTCTTCGGCGACGTCTCGAATCTCACTGTTTGCCTCCTCGTCTTGAGCATGGGACCTCTCATCAGGTGCAGCGTTCTCGTCGTCGACATGATCATGAGCCTCTTCCTCTTGGACGCTTTGCTCAGCCTGTACGGAGCCGTCGACAGCGTCGTTGCCGGTGACAACAGTCGATCCGTCGGAAGCAGGAGCGACTGGGCATTTTTGTCCATCCACGCCCGCTTTCGAGTCCTGGTCGAGACTCGAATCGACAGCGTCTTTGGCGAGGGCCTCGGGGGCGAACCAGGACCAGTCGAGCTGCTTGATCTCGAGACCAAGGATGCGAAAATCAGTGTGAGCCCTCTTCGGACCGACGCCGTTGTCCTTGGCAGACGCCACATCCGCAGCGGCGACGTCTCCAGCGGCTGTGTCGTGCATTGCAGAGCGAGAGCCAGCACTTCCCTGCACCAAGACCGAGCTTTTATTGGATAAGGTGCTGGCTGCGGATGCGTCCGAGGAGGAGGCGGCTGCAGCTTTGTTTCTGGCATTGTTCGGGCCGCGCGGGGCGTCGGGAGGCACCATCTTCTGCGGTGCTGCGTTCTGCCTCTTTGCCGAGCCGGTCCCAGCATTTTTGTCGCTGCGTGCAGAGCTCGCCGAGGAGACTCGACGTCCTGCCTGGATAGAAGAGCCAGTCCCGGAAGCTACGGCCGTTTTCGAGCCCCAGGCGCGAACTTGACCGTTGGGAGCGCTTGCAGCGTTCACAGAGGCAGCCGGGTTGGCGGGAAGGCCAGAGCGCTGTCCCGACGCGCCCTGAGACGCGTTGCTACGGTTCTGAGCACCGTTTCGGTTCATGCCACGACCTGGAGCTCCGACGCCGCCTGTGCCTGAAGCGTTTGCATGCATACCGCCGCCAGACGGCGCGCGGTTATGTAGAACGGGAGGGCCTGGAACGGGATGCGGGTTCATGTGAGGCGCCGACGCTACGCTGGGCGCTTGCCACGCGTATGGCTGTTGAGCTGGATAGCCACCTACTGGCGCCATAGGCGCGGCGCCGGGTGGGCCATATGGCGACGGAGCCTGTGGACCAGGCGCAGCGGGAGGTTGGTGACGAGGCTTCTTGTTCGGCGGACCTGCCTGACTGCCTGGGACGTAAGCGCCCGGCCAGTTCTGAGCATCATTCTGTACGTTCATCGGAGCGGAATTCTGATGCTGGGACATAGGAGGGACGTAGCCGTAAGCGGAAGGAACCGGCGACTGCTGATGGTGCGAAGGGGACTGAGCTTGATAAGGATACGGTGCAGGTCGTGTCGACTGATGCAGATTATAGGCAGCGGCCTGATGAAGAGGCGGGGAACCAGCATTGCTTCCAGTAGGAACGCGATAAGGACCAGACTGCGGCGGGGGCCGAGGAGCGGCAAAATGGCCTGAACCAGGCGCGCCGATGGGGTTGGGCTGCGGCTGCGGATAGGGCTGCTGCGGCTGCGGCTGTTGCCACGGCTGGTTCCATTGATACTGCTGTGAATTTGCTGCCACAGCACTATTCAATGGAGCAGCAGCAGTACGAGGCGGCGCAACAGATCCATATCCATAATTGGCGTAAGCAGCTTGGGACGGGCCAGAAGCAGGTAGCGGCGGAGCAGGACCAGCTGGAGGTGGAGGCTGCCCATATGCTGTCGGTGAAGCAGCGGGAGGTTGTGCTCCAGGCGCACCGTACTGCAAGTTGCGCTTCATCGCTCACAACGCAGTCGATCGAACGTCGCCGGCAGCCTCGAAGATCAAGTGGAAGGACCCTAGCGGCGCATCGAGACAGGGAAAGGCAACAACACCTGAACAGATCCGAAGAAACCACAAAAAGAAGGCGAAAGAGTGAGCGAGCGTGTACGCTGGGTTGATCCTGTAAGATGATGTTGATGGTTGGATGATTGAAAGTCGGATGTGTGTTGCGCTTCGAAAGAGGGTACATGAGCGTTGATCGCGAAAATGCGAAATGCCCATGGTTTTGGACAAAGTCACACCTCTGTGCGCTTGTCGCCGTCCAGGGAAGAATTGTCGGAATCCTCTCCTCGGATGCCTGAAAGCGGAAGGGAGGGAGGTGCGGAAGTCGGAAGATCAAATTGACTTTCGCGTCTCTTCTCAACGCTGCAGAAATCCACGGCGTGGCACGCTCGGCAACATTCATTTATTCTGGAGGCGCAGCTGGCGAGACACAGGGACCGAACCCTGAATAGCCTTGACTAACAAGCTCGACTTTGTGCGCATTGCATGCAGAGTAGCAACCGCTGACCTTTCGTTGACCATCTCAGCCACAACCAGGCGCTTCATCAACTTCACCTCACCTGACTTCTCCAGTGGTCTCCGTCTTCTGACATCGAGTTCGCGGCCGGTGAAATAGAGACGCAAGTTCCGTTCTTGGACGATTTCGAGAAGCTCTTACGAAGCCCGGATCATTTGGCACGCCTCTCGGAAGATGCAGCCAAGCGGCCCTTTCTAAGGATTGTGCCTTTCCATCGCGAACATCACGGTCCTCACTCAGCTTCGAGGCTGTATCAGAGAACTTGCTCGCATGTCGGCTGCGTTCGCGTCCGCGTTTCCACAAGACGATCAGCGCTCTGGGTAGCTTCGGCTCTTCCGCGCGTCTCTTGAAGACGTGATTGCTTCGTTTCTCCAAGATGAGCGGGCAAGACAGCTGGTACAATGCACAGCAGCCACAGTACTCACCATTCACAGCCCATTCTCAGCAGCAGCAGCAGCATTTACCCCGGCAACATCCGCAGCTCGAACATCAGTATATGCCGCACGCCTCAACTTCGTATCACAACGGCCACCCAATTGGCATCGCCGACCCGCCGTATCAAGCAACGTCTCATACAACCCAGTCGCCTCGCGGTCAGTATGGAGCTGATCAGAGCGGGGGTGATCCGCCCTCGCAGTCATCTAGCGCTTATTCGCAGCCAATGAATGGTCAATTCTTGTCATTGCAAGGGATGCAGCAATCATCACCAACGAGCTCAGGCGCAACAACTTTCTCCAGGCGAGAGAGCCATGACCAGTATCCGCAGAGCTCCGCGCATCAGCAGTATCACGGAGGCGAGAAGCCGCCGTCGGCAACATTCCATCTGCAGCATCAGTCGATGGATTCAACCAGCATGGCGTCACCTGTTCAGCACCGCTTCTATCCAAACGCAGCACCATCACAGCAGCCGCAGCAGCACCCATTTGCACAGCCTATCGCCTCTCCATCGGCCAATGCTACTCCCCAGCATCAACTGCAGCGGCCCCATGCTGCCGCGAGCCAGCACGTCTATGAATCGCCGTATGCTCCCTCCACTGGCACCAGAGAGCGCTTGGCCATGTCGCAATCGCCCATGTCCGACGTCTTCCAAAGCGGCGCGAATACCATGGGCAGGACGTTCAACATGATGGCCGGCCTCGAAACGCCCACGCCAAATCCACCTTTGCGTCGCATTTCTGCTCAGAGCTACGCCGAAGATCACTTTTCGTCCAGTCTCGGGCACCATCCTCAAGCGTCAGCTTCTTCTTTGCAAGGCCACTGGACTTCTCTATCCAATGGCAACGGGCAGCAACATTCACCTTTCGCTCAGGCGTCCTGGAATTTCACAGCCAAACCTTATCCCAGCATGCAGCCTCTCCAAACCCAATCTCACGCGCCTTCTTTTCCGCCCCGCGATCTTTCCGTCGATAGGTAAGCTACGCCGCTCCACGTCCTTTGTCCGCGTCCGTGACACATGCATGCGCACACAGAAGCTCTGCCGGAACCGTGCTTCGATTCGGAGGCCTGACCGGAGTGATGCGTACATGCAAACTGTCCCGCAACTTCATATCGCCGCGTAGAGACTTCCTGCTGATCGTTCCTTTCGTTTCCGCCTTCTCCACTTTCTGTTGCGTTGCGATCTTTCATCTCATCTCGGATCCATCACTTGCTGCTTGTCTTGGTCTTTCTTACTCTTGACACATTGACCCAGCCGCAACGCATCGCATCTTCCGAGCAACACTGCACAACGCACGAGTCTCTCCGACGCGACGCCGGCCTCTGTGCACGCAAACTCGTACCCCGCTCCGCCCTCTTCGGGCAGCAGCCTCGATGCTGCTTGGCGCGCTCCGTATTCGCGTTCTTCTGGCTCAGCACAAGCGTCGCATTCCGCCCAATCCATGGCACACTCACGTCACATACCGCACTTGATCGAGCCCGGCTCCCCGACAATGTCGTTGGCAAGGAGATCATCGCATGCTTCGCCCTTGCATGCTCAATTTCCTCTTCCCTCGCTGTCCGGACCTTCCGGATCCTCCACGCTCGATGCTGCCATGTCGGCAAATCCGAACGTAGCTCCAAAACCCAACATGGCTCCGTCTTCAGCGTCGGCTCTTCATCCGACAACACAGCCACAGGCTCATCCAAAGCCAGTCAAGCGAGCGTCGAAGCCCAAACTTGCCGCTGGGCCGCCTCAAGCTACACCTGGCGACCCTTTCAGAGGCGTCATGTCTTCTTCGTCGTCTTCTGCCTCTTCTGCTTCGGGCTTCGCACCCAGCAACACAGCTCTGCCACAATATGCATCGCCAAATCAGCTCTTCACCAGACCGCAAGCAGCAGCGCTTCCAGCAACATTGCCGCCGCCTTCTCCCGCTTTCTCGTTCGATCCCTCCACACAACGCCGTTCGGAGGAGCCGCAGACTCCGCCACCGCCGCAGCATCAGATGTTGTCCGTGCAAGAGAGCCCCGATCCGCTCAACCTGCTCTCTCCCAACGGTCACTTCTCCCTCTGGCAACAGCCCGGCGGCGCGCCTCTGCCTCCGCAGCCTTTTGCAACCAATGGAGCTGCTCACCATCATCTCGCTGCGCAGCAATACGACCCGGCAATGGCGAGAGCTCCTCCCACGAATGGTGCCTTGGCGACCAAACGCAAGGATTCGACGTCTGCCGATAAGCCAAAGCGGAAGCGCAGCAAGAAGCTCAAGGAAGAGCTGCCTCACCAGCCTCCCGCCACGCATTCGCCAGCGGACAGCTTGCAGAACGCCCCTTTGCAGACTGAAAGCGTCGCTGCGAAGCCCAAGGCTTTGAAGCTCAAGAAGCTCGTCCAAAAGGAGCGAACAGCGAGCAAATACGACGATGACGACGTCTCGATGATGCCTGAGGTCACGGTCGAGATTCCAGTGTTCGCGCCTGGCATGTACGATGGGAGTTCGACGTCCTCAGTCATGAAATCGAGCGAGACGACGAAAAAGAAGAAGAAGAAGCAGCGCAGTCGCAAATCGCTCTCCGAGCTCGTCAACCAGATCGTCGAGGATAGCGACTCCGGTATGGATGCAGAGGGAAGCGACTGGGAGGGACTCGAGATCATCGAGAATTACGATCCGGAGCCGGTTCCAGAGGGCCCCAAGAGCCTCGCAAAGATGAGCAACGGCCCTGTCAAGAGCTCGCAGCGCAAGGTGCCTATCGCCAAGCTCTGCGGTCTCATCGAGGACATCTTCGAGGCGGACGACTCGTTGCCCGACCGTGACTCACTTCAGGGTTTGCTGCCAGGTCAGAGTCTCTCTCCTGCTGCCGATCAATTTTTCGAGATCATCGAGTCGCCTGCTGTCGGTGGCGGCGACTCTCGATCCGTCCTGGTCCTACGCGCGGCTGCCCTTCAGAAGCTGCTCAAGTTAATCGTCATGTGCTCACGCCCACACGCGGAGATTGCGTCCATCTCTGGCAAAGCTTTACCAGCAACCAACCCCAGTCTCGGTACGATTGCTGCCGCAGATACGATGCGCCTTCTCGCTATCCTGGAGCGCTCCACAAGGTTGGCCGAGAACATTGATCCTTTCCCGTCGCAGGCTAATCGCGGCTTGGCATCTGAGCCCGCTTCGCCCTCCAAACCCAAAAAGGGCCGTAAACCCGACCACCGCAGCAAGTCGACGTCCAAGACACCAGAGCCCACACCGACATCCGAACATCGAGACGACGAAGCGAAGGATCAAGAGGTGAACGCTACGACAGACGCGGGCGACGACGAACGCGATCGCACACCGGCGGGTCGGGAATTGGGGAACTCCGACGATGAGCTCGAAAAGCTCAACGCAAACTTTGTCGTCATGGATCGTGCCGTGTTAGCCACCGAATGCAGCCTTGGCATGCTGACCGGTGATGTGCTGCCGAAACAGATCCTTTCCGAAGACCACATCCGCTCCTCTTTCGATGCTGTGAAAGCCTGCCTCGACAAGGTCCTCCTTCCCTTCATCGAAGCATGCTCCGGAAGCGCCGCCACGGCACCTCATCCGGATCTCGTCTCGCTCATCGACGTCTTGTCGCCACAGAAGGCGCGCAAGAAGAAGGCCGCCGCAGCCAACGGCGATGAGGCTACTTCGAGCATCGGCGTCATTTGTCGCAACTCGCTTTCCGACCTTTTTACGCATCTCTGCTCGGCACTTTACTTCGTCCAGCGCATGGTGCGCATGCCGTCAATCGCACTGTCGGACTCCATCATCATCAGTGCCGTCTACATTGCGCTCGGTCCTTTCTTTGTGCTGGAGCCAGAGACGGCCGGCGGGGGCGCATTGAGCGAGAATGCAAAGGCAGCTGCACGTGGTCGATCGGCGCTGCTGTCCCTTGGAGGTGCCAATTCCATGAAGACGCTGCGATTACCGGCGCTCAACCTCCTTCGCAGCATTTTCGCAAAGGCGCCGGATCAACGCCAGTGGATGATCGAGGAGATCCTCACCTCGCTCTCAAAGCTCTCCGACATGAAGAAGAATCGACGCCAGTACAGCTTGCGCAACGGCAAGACCATTCATTCGATCAACGCTCTGCTGCTCCAGCTCATCCAGGCCGCTTCGCACGGCGTAGCCAGCTACGCTCGTTCCACTGCCGACCGTCTTTCGCGGAGCAAGGGCGGCCAGGACGCAGATGAGGATGATCTGGCGAACGGCGTGTCTGACCGCGATGGAGGCCCGGAGCGCATGCACACGCTCGAAGTCGTCATCGAGGCCTTCAACGCTACCAGCGAGCCCGACACAAACGACGCCAGAGAGGCCGAGATCGCGATCTGGAGACGGGGACTGGAAGGCGCCAATGCATCGGCTCGGTCCATTGCAGGCTACCTCATGCAACGCATCGGCCAGAACAAGGTGGCCAAGTCGTCGCAAGAGATGAGCCACGCTTACGTGATTGAATCGCTGATCCAAGACCTGCTCAGCGCTCTTTTCCTGCCAGAATGGCCGGCAGCCGCTTTGATGCTGAGCGCTTTCTGTCGCGTCTTTGGCAGCTACCTCGAGGACGCCAAAAGTCATCCAGATGCCAAGGGTGTCGCTCTCGAGCAATTGAGCCTTGTGGCAGCTAGATTGCGTCAAAGCCAGTTGCAGTCTCAGCCGGTGCGCGACGATAAATCGTCTGGATCCGCCAACAGCCCAGTTGGCAGCACCCTGGAGAACGCGGTCGACTCCGGTCATGCTTTGTCGGAGCCTGCAGAAGATCCGAGGATGGTCAAGCGATCCAGATCCACGACGTGGGATCACCTGTCCATGCTGAGGGCCTTGCGAGAACGTGATCGAGAGGCTATTAAAGAATTTGTGCGTACGTACAAATTCATCTCCCACTTTCTCGCAAAGACAGGCAACGAAGACATGTCGACGGAGGGCGCCCTCGAATTCCTGCTCGTTCAAGCCGAAGGCGAATTGGCGACTGCATGGTCAAAGGTAGAAGAGGACATGGTCGCTTTGAGCAGCTCGGAGGACGGCGACGCGGCGCAGCTCACCAAACTGCAGCACTTCCGTGAAGAGCTCGATCTTGCCATGGTGACGCTCTCGGAGTTTGACGCTGCGGCCGGCAGCGCATCTTTGGACGCTTTCGCTTCGGACGACAAGGCGCTCGCACAGGCGAGTGACCTTTCTGAACGCGCACTGATCGCCAGTAGCTCCATGATCGCATACCCAGTGTTGCGAGATCTGCTCGTCGAAGGTCTCAACAATCCGCTGATCTCCAATCGCAGCAAGGCGCTTCGTGGCATCGATCGGATTGCGCAGGTGGATCCTGACCTTCTCGACGAAGATTCCATGCGCAGCGCCATCGAGGTGCGTCTCCGCGACTCGAGCAATGCCGTCAGAGACAGCGCGGTCGCGCTGTTTGGCAGTTACCTTCTTCGCAAGCCACAACACATCCCCAAGTACTACAAGCAGATCGCTGCACGCATCCTCGACACTGGTCTTTCGGTGCGCAAACGTATGGTCCGTCTTCTCAAAAGTCTGCACGAGGCAACCGACGATCCCAAAATCCGCATCGACACGTGCGCTCGCATTGTGCGTTGCATCAATGATGAGGATACGCTCGTTCAGGACATGGCCGTTCTCACCATCGGCGAGATGTGGCTCGAGATGGACATCGACGCTCGCCGTCTGTACTCTCGGCGCCGAGGCAGCCCGATGCGGTCTACGCCTGTCGCATTGCAACCAGCAGACGCGGCAGATGCGAAGGAGTCTGATGCTGCAAAGGCAGATGGCCAGATCGCTGCTGAAGGCGAGCGCGCACTGCCCACCGCCGAGGAGTCGATCGAAGAGACTGTGGAGGAAAAAAAAGTGGCGGACACGATCGAAATCATCATGGCTGTTGCCGATGTCATCAAAGAGCGGCCTTCGCCGTTGGAAGAGGTCTTCCGGCGCCTCTTCAGGGACAAGTCGGAGAGCGAAGCAGCCGAGCTGCACGCCAAGCTACAGAGACTGGGAGACTCGATGATCGACAGTCTGGTCGAGTCTAGCGGCGCATCCAGCATCGACACGGTCAAGCGCATCCGCATCGTGCAGCTGCTTGTCTCGACGAATCCGGCTATCCTCACCATCTCCAAGGCCAAGTTGCTGCTTCCTTACCTCAAAGCCGCGCAGACGAGCGAGGAAGTTCAGATCATGGACCTGCTGCTGCGGATCTTTCGCTCCTGCTTGCCGCACATGCCAAAGACGGCGTTGGCATTCGCCGATGCTTTGGAGAAAAGCCTTCGCCCTCTGGTCAACCGACCGCCGCCCAAGGCAGGTTTACACCTGCTGCAAGAACTCATCGCCTGCTACTGCGCCGTCATCATCACGCACACGCACAACTTCAAGCTGCTGATACAGACGCTCAAGGCGTGCTTTATGCGTGTGCAGGCGATGCGGCAGATGGCGCTCAAAGGCCAAAAGGTCGAGGACAACAAAGCGTGGAGCACCCTCATGTCCTTGACTGCCTCTCTTTGCGAGCACGCCGACTTTGACGACATCCGCAAAAAGCACTCGGAGACGACCGCCGACATCGATGCGCTTAGCAAGCGGCCGCTCATCGACGTAGTTTCGGAGGCGCTGCTTGATATTCACAGAACGGGGAGCGAGGTGGTGCGCTCCGTATCCCTTCAGAATCTGGGCTTTATTTTTCGTGCCCATCCTACGCTCATGACTCGGCCTTCGATTACGGCGATGATGGACGACATCTTCGCCTCGGGATCGCTGCAGGATCGCGCGACTCTGCTCAAGATCATCCTTGATTTCTTGAGCGCCGACGCGCTGCGTCGCAATCCGGACAACGCCGTAGTGACCGCAGGCACGGGACGCCGAAAGCCCGAGAATCCGGATGCGGGGAGTGTTGATATGACGATTCTGGTCGGCAACACCGAAACTTTCGCCGACACAGGCGTCGGCTCAGCCATGATGCAGCGATATTCCGAAGACGTGCTCAAGGCGACGCTCGAGGTGTCGAATCCTCCCTTGCAGCGCACTGCCATCGACATTTTGCGTTTCACCGTGTTGCAGGGACTCTCGCATCCGATCCAGTGCGTACCGTACCTTGTTTCGCTCGAGACGCTCGAGGACCGGAAACTCCGCAGTCGAGCCATGGAGCTGCACAGCCATCTGGCGTCGAAGCATGCTTCGCTTGTGCAGGCTCGGTTCCTCGACACTGCTCGTTCCGCGTTCCGGTTCCAGATGCAGCTCGGCACAGCACAGGCGCTTCGCGGCTTCCGTGTTGACAATATGCCAACTGCGGTGCTCGGAGCGTGGTACAGCTTGCTGCGAGATCGTCGAGCCACGCGACTCGATTTCCTCAAACAGATCGTCAAGGCGCTTGATGTCAACACGGCGTCGGCGGACTGCAGCATGGACGAGGTCTTGTTTGCACGCTTCATGGCCGATAATCTCGCGACGCTGGATTACAAGACGATGGAGGAGCTCTTTGTCGTAATCGGCGAGCTTCGTTCGATTTTGGCTGTCTCGGGGATGCAGGTACTGCACAACATACAGCCGCATCTGCCCAAGCAAGATTTCATGTCAGGTGCAGCTCAGACCGAGTCGGCCCAGGATGGGATGAGAACGCCGCCTCCGCCTGGAGCTGCCGTGCCGGGAGGAGATCTGATCAGTCCCTTTGGCACGTCTCGCAATCCATGGCTTTCAGGGGAGTGGCAGCTTCAACTCGCCAGCGATGTGACTCCGCCCGTGGGTGGTACGATCGATCCGACGCAGATTCTTGGCTACCCGCAGCCTATCGCCACGACCGACGCCGCCCTTTCCCAGATCGGCAACCCCGCGCCTTCATCCAAAGCTGACGACCCAGAACCCGCAGACAGCAAAACCCAGATCGACCCTATCGCCGTCGCCAAGATGTCCATCATCTCCGGCACAGCCCTGCTCCTCCGAAATCACCTCAAGCAGCTCTACGGCCTCAGCGAGGCGCGCTGCGCCAAGTTCAACCCGAGCAAAAAGCAGAGCGCCGGCGCCGACAAGCCGGCCACGATGCGTGCGCTCTCGGACCCGATGCACGCCGCGCTCGACCTGAGCGCCATGCCGTTCGGGCTGGAGGAAGTCAGGAGCGAGGAGGACGCGCGGAGGCAGATGGTGGCGTACGCTGCGCTGGTCGAGAACGAGGGGACGATGATGGAGCCTGAGGATGCGGATGGGTTGGACGATTTGGCGCTTTGAGAGGAGGAGAGGCGGAGGAGAGGTGTTTGTGTGCTCAAATGTAGGGTTGGCCTTCAAAGAAGATCGACGCATACCTGTTCAGAACTATCAAATTCACACTTTCATATCTATCGGTTGCTTTTTGTGTGCTTATGATGCACGGGTCGTTCATTGCGATTGCGACGATGAACATGACTGAACAGCTTTTTGGTGTATGACCGGAAGCTGTTTCCTTTCATATTAGAGTGGTCAGCTTCCGGTCTGACATGGTTGCACTCTCCTATCGGATCAGTATGACTCCCGACACGTGGACGACTTTTAAGCCGAAGCAGCGGGAGCGGCAGCAGGCTTGTTCTTCTTCTTTGTCTGACGGACAGCGGTGGAGAGGAGCGCCTTGATCTTGTCATCGGTGACCTGCTTAGCTGGCTTGACGTTGTCCTCGTTGGCCCAAGTCGGGGCGGGGGTGATCCTGATAGCGCCCTTTGCGTTGACGGCAACGGTGAAGAAGACCTGGGCGGTGATGGCCTTCTTGTCGCTGTCTTCGAGCACGTGGAAGGGGGTCAAGAGACCGTGCTTTGCGCACTCCTGAACACCGATCCTGGCCCTCCTGACATCCTCTAGGCTCTTCAAGTTGAATGGGAAGCTGGCGGCTTTCTTCTGGATCTCCGAGAGCACCTTGCGCGAGGTTTGGAGTTTCAAGAGGTAGGTGTTGTTGGTTTTGCGGTAGATGGTGGTCTTGCTGTCGTCGGAGCGGGTCTTGCCTTCGGCGGAGGTAGTGACGGAGATGTCGACGCCGTAGATCTCGTCCTCTTCGAGCTTGATGGTGTCGGGACGCGAGCCGGGTTCAGCGTTGAGGACGATCTTCTTCTTGGCATCGATCTCGTTCTTGTTGAACTGGTTGGTTTGCATTCCCTCGACGGCTTTGCAGTCGAACTGCTTAATGGCGGCTTCGATCTCTTTGCTAACTTCGGTGTTGAGGACGCCAGGCTTCATGACTCGGATAGCGACGTCGGCGGCGACGAGAGCCGCCTTGATGACATCGGCGGTACGACCCTCGACCGGGCTCGACTTGTCGGCTCCAACGACGAATGTCTCGGCGGTGATGGCGGGCAAGCCATCGATGTAAGCTCCGAGCTGAACCTTGACGACGTCGCCCTTCTTGAGGGTGATCTGCTCCTCATCCGTGGGCAAGGGAGAGTAGTTGCAGACCACGTTGTTCAACGAAAGAGTGGTGGGGAATGCAATACCCTTGGCGATGCTCTTTCCCTTGTATACAGCCGAGGTCTCCTCCTCGAGAACCTTGTCACCAACGTTGCAGAGCTCGAGAACGGTCTTTCCCTCGGCAGCGGCAGCGATGACGGCCTTGATCGCCTTGGCAGAGATCTCTCCGGCCACCTTGTACTTGGGAAGGATGCTGTCGTTGAAGCTCTCGGGCTTTTCAGCGGCCGCAGCAGCAGCAGCGGGCTTTGTGTTCGACATGTTGGAAAGTATGTGGATTCGCTTGTGAAGGGGGTTGGTGATAGATGGTATTCGGAAACCAGGATCTGCACCTTGACCGACGATGGCAAGACAATCTTGGAATGTCACAAGGGCTGCAAGCAATTCTAGAATGCGCACATTGCACAGACTAAGATTTCTTCTCGCATGGCCACGGCTGCTGCTGCAAATCCTTGGGAAGGGAGCCAAGAAGAATTTGTCGCAGCAAATTTTACCGTCCGACAAAAAAAGAGCATGGAAATCTTCCCGCACCGTGTGTCTCATGGTCATAAGACAACTAGGCTTGGCCTCAAACAAACGTAGCTCGTCCTTCCTCCTTCAGCACTGCGTGGACGATGCCTCTGTGCGCCTTCTGAATCGAATCGGCGAGGAAAAGCGCAGTTAGATTTGCACACCAGGACGACTGCTGAATCAGGACAGTCTGGCTGCCGAGGCTGCAGTGCAGATCACGTCGATCACGAAATCTATTAGATCCTATACAACGTTTATATATACTACAGCCGCGTCACTGTACATCAAGCTTCGTTAGCGTAGTTGGATTATCGCATCCGTCTAATACACGGTGCACTCGGTTTACTGAGTCCAAAATATTACATCAACGGAAGGTCACTGGTTCGAGCCCAGTACGGAGCATTCCTTTTTGCCTTATTTCACAGGCATCTCTTTTGCCATTTAGAAACGCTCAGGATGAGAGGAGACGACATACAACGACGACAGTGACTATGAACAACGTACTGTAATTGCGTTTCAATGCAACGAAGAAGTATACAGGCATTTTGTCGAGATAGAGCAGCGGTATCCCTTCAAACCCTCGACACCTTGAGCGGCAGACCGCCCTGCGGCTTCATGGTGATCAACGTATCCATGATCGGACTCTGATCCTTGGACACGGGTTCGAACTTGAAGTTGGACACCAGGATGCAGATGACCGCCTTCATCTCGAGGTAGCTCATCGTGCGACCGATGCAAGCGTGCGCACCGGCGATGAAGGTGATCATGCTGAAGGTTCGATCGTACTTGTCCGGCAGGTTGAACCAGCGTTCCGGCTTGAACGCGTCGGCGTCGTCACCCCACACGGTGGGATCCATGTTGATGGCTCGGTTCGAGATGGGTAGGAGCGTGTTTTTGGGGATGTAAATGCCGTCGATGTACGAAGCCTTGGTTGAGATGCGAACGGTGCGTGGAACAGGTGGTGTCACGCGCATCGATTCGTTGATCACGGCATCCAGATAGGCGAGGCCTTTGATGGCGGAGTAAGGCGGTCGATCGTCCTGGTCCATCAACTCTTTGCATTCCTTGCGCAGCTTGTCCTGGATGTCTTGGTGCGTGGCGAGGTTCCACAACGTCCACGATACACCGGAAGCAGTCGTCTCGTGTCCCGCGCCCAGGAACGTCAGCACCTGCGTGATCATATCGCGCTCAGCCTGCTTGAGGCTCTTGGGCTTGCCATCGTTCTCAGAGAGGTAGTTTTCCTCGATGATGTCGATGATGGCTTTGAACTTTCCGCTTTCAGCCGCGCGCTCGCCCGAGTTGAGCTGCTTGTAGAGGATCTCCTTGGACACATTCTTGATGCGGTGCATACCGTTGAGCAGCTGGAAAAACGTCTGTGCGACCGATCCGGGTTTGCATCGCTTGTAAAACCATTCCCAGCTGTATGTGTCTGATGCCCAGTCCAAGACCGTATCGCCGAATGGCAGATTGAGCACAAGGTTGAGTCGAGCCTGATTTCTGCCGTTCTGCATACTGGTCACCGCATGGTAGGCGGAAGCCAGCTCGTTGGTGGGGTTGTTGACCGAATCGGCATCGTAGCCGAACGCAGTGAGGCAGATGATGTCGAGCAGAGCCTTGTTGACCCATTTGTCACAGTCGATGACCGCAGAATTCTCGGCGGACTCGTCGACCTTCTTCTTGAGGACGTCGACCAAAGGGTAGATCTTGGCGTAGTAGACGGGGAATTGCTCGATCAGGTTGGTAAGCGAGAAGGCAGGGTTCATGGTCTTTCGCATCTTGCGGTGCGTGTCGCCTTCCACGGTCAACAGACCGTAACCTGCAATGAGGCCGAGCAACTTCCACGCAATCGCGGGCTTGGGATAGCTGTACGGGTCCTCGACCAGGATCTGACGCAACGCCTTGGGACGCTGAAAGTGGATCGCCTCGCGGCCGAACAGGAAAGTGCTGCGGTAGACGCCGTCCTTGCCATACTTGCGCGACCAGCCCATCTCTGCGCCCGCACCGGGCTTGCCTACGAACTCGTCCATGTTGCCGATGAAGGGTTTGGGTTTCGGGCCCGGCAAATGTCGCAGCGGCGAAATGTAGTAGTGATAGATGGTTGTATTGTAAAGCATCTTGCCGAGCGAGTATGTGATGAACGAGCCGAGGAGCAGCACCACGGTACCGACTGCCAGGGCGACATAGCCGACAAGGGTGGTGGGCTTGTGACTCTGTGCAGTGGCAGCGAGCTTGCCTAGCACAGAGTCGCTCATGAGCGAGGAGCTTGACAGCTTATATTGCATCGCTGTGGATTTGCGCCGAGCAGAACGAGGATAATAAGGAGGAGCCCGTTCGCGATCCTAGAGGTGAGGCCGAATTTCCGCCGGTTATGAGAGGGAGATATGGCCGGGTTGCTAGTGATGGTGGCGGAGAAGGTCGAGAAGGAAGCGATAGGAGCGTCGCATCATCGCCAGTGCTGTTTAAGAGGGTCCAAGCAGCACAGGACAATAGCGTGAGAAGCATTGCGAGTGGGGTTGAACGGGCGGTAACCTGTCAAGATCGTTCGTGAAAGACGGCGGCGTATGTGGAGAAGATGCAGAGAGGCGTAGCAGAATGACATGTTGCTGCGCCTTGCTTTTTCTTTTCTTTTCTTTTTTCTTGTTTTTTTCTCCTTTCTTTCTGGGCCATGCCGAAACAGCCTAGGCATTCAAGCAGTGTAGATCAGACAAACGTAGATCCTCCAAATCCTCTCTCGCAGCCATCAACGTCTCAATCATCGTCGCCATGCTTTCATAGAGACGGCTGAGGAGGACGACTGATGTCTGTACTTGTGAAAGTTGACCATGGTTCAACAATACAGACCTCATCATCAGGTGTAAGGCTGTGGAAAAATGCTGCATCGTATTTTTTCAGCTGCCAAATCAGGCTGCTTGCTTTTGCGAGCAAGTCAAGCGTCAGTGAGCGTGACGGGTCACCACCAAGCATTTCACTGCAGGTCTCGCAAGTCTTTGTGACTCCCTTATTTGCCGTTGATCCCCGCATTCCTTCACAACAGAAATGCGGAGAGACAATGCCGGGCGAGCAGACAGTGCCGGATCGAGGTACGTGTCGGAGGTCCGCTACTATGCTCTCCGCGGAGGTTGACTTCAAAGTGCGGGGGAGGAGAGTTTACCGCACATCACACACTCATCCCTCCGTGCCACTGTTCTCAGCTTTGTCTTACCGGACGACCTCTTCTCATTGGTCGTGCAGGACCTGCCTTGACGACGAAAGTGTGCATCGATGAAGCGATCAACGGCACCGATCCCAACCCCACCGATGTGCACGCAGTCTCTGGCACTTGATTCGGACTCATGACAGCAAAGGAAACGTTGGATGTCTGTCACGAACCGCAAACAATGAGGCCTCCGAAGACTCGATTGGAAACGCCGAAAATATGTGCCAAAATAATGCCAGTGAGGCACAGCAAAAAAGGGGTCCGAAAAAGAGGCGTTCATAAGGTTGCACTCCGCGCGCCCGCTTTGTTCTGTTCATCTTCACCATACAACACACTGCCGCTCGTTAGGCAAACGCGCCGTGTAGACTTTCGGTTTAAGAGGATATCTTGCATTTGCGAACGAGACCCGAGAGACATGAAAACCGAGTACGAAAACGAGAGACCAAACAGTAGAAAATTTTGTAGTGGTATGATACAATGAGCGACAGCCGAACGCAGCACTGGCCGGATCCGCACTGCTGCTCGGACGCAGCTGCTAGCTCGAAGAAAGCAGGCGAACGGGGCGCGCTCTGTGGACAGACGATATTTTCAGCCTTTGGGATGGGTCAAAGAACCAAGAGACTACTCGCCTGGTGGCATGGCAGCGAAGCCAGTAGCGGAGCTGCTGTGCCACGTGTGCCGCCACTCAAGAGAGCGCGAACCTGTACGCCTCCGCTGGGTCATCTGTGCAGATCCTTCTCGCTTGCCGTTCCATCCGGCGGATCGGTGACGCAGGCTGCGACGCGATGTGCGCAATGCACGAGCTGCTGCAAGGACCGAAAACCAAGGCCGTCTGAGCCTTTTCCTGTGATGATGCGTGGCGCCCTGCTGTGGAGATTGTGATTGATCGGTGTCAGTGATCGGTGCCAATGGCAGCGTCAGGTGCAGAGGATCGTTGCGATGTACTTTTCCGACGGAGTAAGGACTGAAACAGACATCCTCTCTGGTTGTGAACGAGGACGGAGGTCCGATAGAGAGCGCGCCAGAAGGACAAGGCAGAGGTTTGTGGTGGAATCGTCTGCAGGAACGAATCCTGTACGGATCCCATGGATTCTTGCGTTCGAGAGATGCGGTAGTGGGAAGCGCAAGACGAGGAAAGGTGAGGGCGCTCGGACGGGCCGGTGGGAAGTGTGCGTTCTCAGAAACGACCGAAAAGGCGGTGCGGAGCATGGCGGCTAGAGCCAAATGCTGGCCGCTGGTTCCAGCGCTGACTGCTTAGTCCTGCATGGCATCGTCTGCGTTGACAACGTGCTCTTCTCGTCCAAGCGAGCTCGCCTCTTTGCCAGGGCTCGAGCCGGCTCCGCTGATGGGGAAAGCGCTGACCTGAGGATGAGAGGTGAGACCTCCCGCGCCGGGGACGTTGACGGGACCTGACTGAGGACCGCCCTGCTGACCGGGCAAAGAGCCTGGAGGCGATACAGCGGTTGCGCCCGGAGAAGTGACGGTCGAGGCGTGCGGGATCATCTCTGGGTTGGGGATCGCGGTGCCGACCGACTGTTGCGGCGCCTTGCCGGCTTTCGAGAGGGCATAGTCGCCCGAGTCGAAGTACTTGCGCTCCTTAAGCTTGTTCTGAAGGAGATCTTTCTTGGGGAGCTTGCCGTAGAGTCGGAAGAGCTTTTGCTCCTCTTCGTTCAACGACGAGATGTCGATCTTGTTGCGCTGGGCGGGAAGCATGTTGCGTTGTGAAGCGGTGAGGGAGAAATGATGTTGCTCTCGTAGGCTCGGATCCGATGTCTTGATTCAGCTTTTACCAGTAAGGGAAGGATGCTGAGCCAGCGGGAAGAAACAGAGAGAGGAACAGCTGCTCGGAAAAAGGTCCGGGGAAGGCGAGGAGGTGGTCTGTAACGAAGGTGAAAGGCAGGCTGCTGTCACCGGCGATGGCAGCTCTTCTGTTCGATACTGATGATGGTTCTGGTGAAAGATGATGTGGATGGTAGTGTAGGATGCTGTTGAGTTGGAAGAGGAAGTAGTGCAAAGACGGACGAGAGATTGACTGACTGTTGCGATTGCAACACAGAGCGGCTGCCGTTTTTTGAGTTCTTGGCCGTCTCAGGGTTCACCCACGCCGACCCGTTCAGCCAGGAAAAAAAAGAGCTAAGCCGCACGCTTTCCAAGCAACGGCACCTTGCAAGAGCTGCACCCGAACGACCGTGTGACTTTACAGAAGCGTCGGCACGCTCAAACCATTGGCAACTGGCACGCTGCTTTTCCTACGCTGCCCGCTGTCCGCTGGCCACGGCCCACTGCCCGTTGCCCTCGCAGGAAGAGGCCAGCTGAGGATAAGGAATCGCCTCACTAACAGCAGTCTTGCCCAGCCTGCCAAGGCGAACAAAGCGGAGAGACATATTGCAAGCCACCGCAATTTAGACCACCTGACATGTTTCCGGATCTGTTGCTGTGGTTTCCAATTTGGTACACCCTCAGACCTGGGAACGCAGGCGAGCAAAGCCAGTCGAGATGTCACCGAGCTAAGCGCACGGACTCACAAATTCGAAATGTATTTGTTTTGAATAAATACATTCGCAAGTCAATACGTTCCTGCGACCGAGTTTGTAAGTGTCATTCTTGCACGTCGATACAAAAAGGGCACGCTAGCAGCGCGCGGCTTTCTCGAGAGCAAGCCGGGCGCGGTGAGAGAGAGAGAGACAGTGTAGCCAGCCTGAATTCAACAGCATGCTGCTCGGAGGCTATGACTTCACAGGCCTCTTTCACGGCCGCCAAATGACGAACGTGCCACGAGCAAACTTGCAGTGCGGCCTAACACTCGACCAAATGTCTTTTCGCTTCTTCCGTGATCACCGCCCGGTCTCGACACGCAGACAGGCAGATGGATATGACGCTGAGCAGGTTGTAGGCTGGAATGTGATGACTGCCTTCCTGGATCTTCGGCGCGTTCCGCTCAAGCACACTACTTCACGGCTGATACGGTAAGGAGGACACAACGAGCGCAGGGAGGCTACAGCCCTTCTGGCTGCGACCTCGCTCGCTCGCGTCTTCGTGTCATCGAACGCTCATGTCTGCGAGAGCGACCGGAGATGATGGAAGACCCGCAGAAGGAGACAGAAGCACGCTTGTCCAAATTGACACAGCTTACTGCGCTGTTGTTGCCCGTTCAGCCCGGCGCGTGTTTGGTTGTGAGTGTGTGGTTGGACTGGCCGCATTGTCGTTCCCTTGTTGCTTTCTTCTCTATATGGGACCGCCTGATCCGTTCGCGGCCGAAAGAGCCCATCCACAGCGCGAAAGAGCCGATTCCAACCAGGCCATCCAATTTGTTGGTATTTTCGTCGCACGGCCAGTCAGCGTCGCAAAACCAACACACACACGATTTCCGCGACGGAACGAGTGTCGGCGGGCGCTCCACCCAACAGAGGCGATCCTCCACCAATTTCCCGACATCCAATCTTGCTTTTGGTCCACCACCTCCCCTAACTGTGTCGCATCACCTTCCCGTCGTCGATCGATCCGCAATACTGTACGTACAATTTGCCTCACATCTCACTCACTGTCGATCAGAATACTCCGCTTCGACACCGTGTCGACACTTTCAGATCCGCGAACGGCTCGACTGGCGTTGCGCGTCCATCAACGGTGCCATCGTCGGATCTCACCGACCGCGTCTACTCGTCTCATTGCCGCAAGGGACTGTCAGACTAACTTGACCTTCTCCTCTTTCCTGTTCCTGCAGCAAAAATGGCTCCCGTTGTCGTCTCTCAGCCCGTTCCTCCTTCCTGGAAGGACCTTGGCAAGGCCGCCGGTGACCTTCTGTCCAAGGACTACCCCATCCACGGCAACTCGCTCGAGGTCAAGACCAAGACCCCCAACGGCGTCACCTTCCGCGTTCTCGGTATCCGTGACTCCAAGTCGCAGGCCATCAACGGCGACCTCGAGGCCAAGTGGGAGGACCGCAAGAACGGCGTCACCTTCACCCAGGCCTGGTCCACCGCCAACGTTCTCCGCAACCACATTGAGCTCGAGAACCACATCGCCAAGGGCCTCAAGCTTGAGCTCGTCTCCACCCTCGTCCCCGAGAAGCAGACCAAGAACGCCCTCTTCGCTTCCACCTACAAGCAGCCCGGCCTGCACACCCGCCAGCACCTCGACCTCTTCAAGGGTCCCACCTTCACTGCCGACGCCGTCCTCGGCCGTGATGGCTTCCTCGCCGGTGCTGAGGCCAGCTACGACGTCAAGGCTGGCAAGCTGAGCCGCTACAACCTCGGTGCTGGCTTCCACGCCCCCGACTACGCCGTCACCTTCCACGGTCTCGGCAACCTTTCCACCTACTCGGCCAGCTACTACCACCGCGTCAACGCCGACACCGAGGCCGGTGCCCGCGCCACCTACGACTCCAAGAGCCCCAACTCGAACGTCAACCTCGAGGTCGGTACCAAGACCTACCTCGACAATGCCGCTTTCGTCAAGGCCAAGATCAACAACGCCGGTATCCTCTGCCTCGGCTACACCCAGGCTCTGCGCCCCGGTGTCAAGGCCTCGTTCGGCCTTGCTCTCGACACCGTCAAGCTCAGCGACTCGAACGCCTCCGCTAACGCCCACAAGCTCGGTGCCTCGGTCACCTTCGAGGCTTAAGCGTGTCCAGACGTTGAGCTGTCGAGAGTCCATCGAGCCTTGTCTTTCACTAATGCTTTTCTCTCGGCGTTATGGAACCTTTCTCGTCTCATGGGACTGCAGGATTCCACGACATCCTGCAATCTTCTTGCACAACAATGTACTATCCGCGACTGCGTGACAAAGTAAAACATCACTCTAGCCTCACGACGCCTGACCGATTGCACTGGGCCATAGCCGAAGGACCTGATGCGTTGTCGCCGTTTCCGCAGCGATCTACCACACAGTGTCATCTGCTCGTGTTGGTACAAACAGCGACAATGTACGCCTTAGACTATACTGACTTGACCCGATCTCACGGGATCGCTGTTGCCTCGTGAGAGCGAATCTGATGCCGCCCGATTCGAACCTTGACAGGGCGTCAAGGAGGGGCAGCGACCGTCGAGTGTTGAAGCACACGTACGACCACAATAGCGTGCTTCAGTACAAGGTTCAGGAACGCAGATACTGCGCGGACTTTTGTTGAGTGCCACGAGGCTTGGAGTGAATCAGTGACCTAGCGTACATGACGATGCTGCCTGCGGAGGTGCGGCTGCTCTGCCGCAAGAAACTCCGCACAAGGCAGCCAAAATTGAGCGCGTCGAAACACTTCGTCGTCACTCTCAGGCGAGTTGGGGGAGGAGATTCGATCCCAAGCGGAGTTGAACACGATCGTATGTGGCTTCTTTAAGGCAAAGCAGCTGGAGCCTGCCGTGGGTAAATACCTGAGCATCTGCGGCTGGACCTTGTAGCGCAAGAAGAGGGCGCGCTCGTGGGCGAACGATGTGTGCAACGCGATGTCAGGCGCACTCGTCCCGCTCGGTCTTTGCCGAAGGCGTCGTCACAAAATGCTGGTCGTTTGTGATGCAAAGGCTTAGCTGAAGTTCAGGGAGCAAAAGCTCACTATTTGCATCCTGTTGCATGATCCAGTAGGAACAACTCTGAATAAGCGACCGAAGCAGCATATGCGGGCAAGCGAGGCCGCGTGATTCCACCGCTTCGGTTTCTTGAATGTGCAAATGCTGCCTGCACAATGCATCAGATCAAGGAGCCGCAGTCGACGACGGACAAAGTACCATGTACAAGGGCGTCCCCATCGAAGCATCAAATTGGGATTTCGAACTCACATCAAATCTCTCCGCCTCGCCTAGATAACTCAGCGGATCAGCAGCCAAGGAGCGAGTCCACAGGTGCATTGCGTCCGTCGCTCCGGCAGCACGAGGCAAATCGAAGGAGGTTTCGAGAGATCGGCAGCAACAACACACGGTCGGTTCGCGTTCTGCCCAGTTGGGGTGCGGGGTCTAGATCTTGCATCTAAATCCAAGCTCGCGAGTCCAGCAGAGACGGATCGATGCAAGGCATTTGGTGAGAGAGGTAGGGGGAGCGCAGAAATTTCCTTTCGCCCTCGTGGCCTTGTCTGGTTTCCTTACGCGTCATAGGCTGTTTGCCTGCTGACTGACGGTGTGAGCTCAAGTTCTTTTTTTTCTTCTTTCTTTTGTATTGTATCGTGGGATGGGATCGTCACCAGCGGTGAAAGGCCAGTCTGCATAATCATCGGGCTCAGCTGAATTGATGGGATTGTCGACTGTCGACATCTTCTGAGCACGTATTGACTGTTCTATCGGCCAGGATACACTACCACGCCAGGACAGGCTTGTGGGCCATCGTCCATTCGACAGGAAGGGGTGAAGCAGCAGACGACGCAGACGAGAGGAAAAAAAGCGGAGAGTAAGAACGGAGACACACAGTAATCCTGCATGATTGAAGGAAAACAAAGTTCCATCAAGGGGGAGCCGAGGGAAAAACCACAAGTGAGGGAACGCGCTGTGCTTCTTGTCGCCGAATCGGATGACGGAAGTGACGCAGTACAGACCGAAAAGTGCGATTTTTGTCTGCCTGAGCGCCCCAACTAAGACTTCGGCTGTGCCGATGAAGGGGCTGATCAAGCCATGCGTCTAAAATTGACGCCGCGTCGAGAACACTCTCTGAGTCGCATCCCACACGCTTCGCTCTCTACCGAGATCACGGCGCCATTTTTTCCGTTGGGTCAAGTCAAGTCACCGTGTGACCACACCTGTCCCTTTGTGACCCTCCATCATCATCATCCGCAAACACACCGGCTCTAGCCCACCTTCGCCGACTGGATAGCGCTCACAAGCTCGCACACACATTCTCTCGGATATCTACCACTTATACAGGATCGATCGCCAGCTCATCTCGAATTCACAGAGCCTCGTTACCGCGATACGTCAAGCAGAAGCGGAATCATCTTGGAGCAACCTGGATCGAATCTTTGACCCCAGACACTTGCTCTGCGAACTGCAATCTGGGCCAGAAACTCGAGCAGACCCCGGCTGTACATAGGCGAAGGATCGCTCTCACAAGGGATCACGAATCGGCACTCCTTCGTATTCTTCCATCTCACCACAACGTATTCATAGAAAGCCATCATGTCGAGTGAAGCGGTAAGTACGATCGACGTTTGCGACGCAAAGAATCCCGCTGCACCATGCATACACCTCAGTCCGGCAACGGCAAGGAGCTCGGCTGGTTTGGGACAATGCCGACAGGAGTTCGATCTTCGGGACGAGCCGATCCTAGCATTTAGACGCTGTCCCGGCAAGCACATCCTACGCCTTGCGGTAGCGTCGCAACATGCGGAGTCAAAATAGAGTTCATCGGGACAATGCCGAGTTGCGATGCGAATTGCACGCCTCGCGTTGCGCCTCGTTTCGGGACACCTGTGACCAAGCCGCAGGAACAGCAGAAGGCAGCACCTCAAGTTGTCTATGCGCCCCGACCTCTTCCCACACGCCTCGATGCTGCGCTTTTTCCACGCTCGACCACCCCTTTCCTCATTTTCATCTCAATCTTATACTGACCCTATCCAACCCTTTCGCTATCCTTCTTTCATCTCCGCCACCGCTCTCTTCGCTTCCTCCCTCCCTCTCTCTCTCTCTCTCTCGACGGATTTTCGTGACTCCGCGTCCTCTTTCACGCTCTCGACGCACGATCCCGAACCACGCGACCCGCGCTCGTCACATCGGCAACCTCCTCGGCATGTCGGTGCCGATCGCCTCTCTTCCGACCGTGCCGGCGTCCTTCCGCTGCAACCACGGCTTCAACCTCAAACAGGGCGCCGATGCAGCCAGCGGCTCAGCAGGCGACCTGTCGCCTTCGATCATTGACATGGACATCTTCTCGCAACTCCTCGAGATGGATGACGAAGATGATCGCGAATTCTCCAAAAGCATCGTTCAGAACTACTTTGACCAGGCCATCACCACCTTCAAAGAGATGGATGTTGCGCTAAGCACCAAGAACCTCACAGACTTGTCCACCCTCGGCCACTTCCTCAAAGGTTCTTCCGCCGCGGTGGGCGTCATCAAGGTGCGCGACAGCTGCGAGTGCATGCAGCACTACGGCAAGTGCCACGGCGAGGATGGTGTCAGCGACCTGACCGAGGAGGAGGCGTTGGAGAAGTTGACCGTCACTCTGAGGGATGTCAAGGTGCAGTACAGGGAGGCGGCTAAGGCGCTGAGGGCGTTCTACGATGAGGAGGTGGACGCAGGAGAGGAAGAGGAGGTGGACGATGCACCGCAAGACGCAGAAGCAGAGGCGGAGGAAGAGGTCCAGGCAGGTGCGCACAAGGAGGCATCGTCACAAGAGGCAGCAGCACCAGCCACTACAACCGCTGCTGCTTAACCGAAACGTCATCGTTCACAATACGCTCGCCAGAGTCTCAACCCAATCTACCAAGCACCGAGCTCCCGCTGCAAAAACTTTCCATGCGATTCGTTTGCTCCCATCGCATCCTCTAGCCGCTCGACTCTAGCTCGCGGACCAACATACACTCCATCCTGGCTTAATCCCCTTTTGTCCTCGTTACTACAGCTTGTCTGCTCACTTGTTATTCAGTGCTTCACTAGTGCTTTCCCTCGTCGTAAGAGGGACGAGTTGTTGTTCGTGTTTTCTGGGTGAGAATCTGAGCAGGTTGATGGAGCAAATTTCACGGCAGAGTGGTTGAAAGGAGACAGTGTGAACGAATCCTGCACGCAGTACTCACGTCTCCGAATCACAATCGAGCATCGAAGGTCGGGGGATGACAGTTGCCATTGCAGACATGTGATTGCTTAGCCTTGCTTACGACCATCCAGGTTTGGCAACCGTCCCCAGCGGAATTTTGGGTGGTAGAGGTGGTGGAGCGGCACCACGACCGATCGCAGCTTTTTCGTCGTCATCGTCGTCGTCGTCGTAGAGCGAGTTATATCTCGGTGCCCACTGATCTGCGCTCGATCTGAAAATGTGTCCTCCACCTCCTCCTGCTCGAGAGTAATCTGAAGTGGGACGAACAAAGTTGCTGTTCTGGTTGACGACAGCCGAAACAGCCCCAGGAGGAGCGATCGATGACGTCGCCGCAGCACCTGACAAACGTGATGATCCGGTTTGCGTTTCTCTCGCATTCTGATCCATGGCATCGCGTGCAGCGTAGTACGCCGCCAGTTGCGCTTTCTCACTCCCGCCCACCGTCTGACCACCGTTCAGCTTGCCGTTCGCTTTGGCCTCGGCTTTGGCCTGTTTCCTGGCATAGTGCGAAGCCAACCTCTCCTTCTCCTCTGCACTCTGCTGCTCTGCTTCCGTCAGATACGATTGGACGCCCGTGTTGATCGTCGGCGTCGCAGTTCGCGTTGATGAGGCTGCGGTATTGGCAGGTTGACGGGGCGCAACAGGGTGCGTAGCAGATGCTACTTCCGGTGCACGTATTGCATCGATCGACGGTCCGTTTGCGTGAGGAGCCTGAGCGGTGGAATTGGACGAGGATGGTTGCTGAAGATGTTGACTAACCGCATCTCGTGCTTCGTAGTATCTTCGGAGTTGTTCCTTTTCGCTGACGGCCGGAACGACTGGCGCGGCCGAAGGTCCACTGGGAGAGGACCCCGCGCCAACAGCAGCAGCAGCAGGACCACTATAGCCCGACGCGGCGGGATTGCCGTTCGCGACGGTGACGCCTTGCGGGCTCCTAGACCATGATCCTGGAACATCCACCGCAGCGCCGCTGCTGATGGATGCGGCGTGCTGATGACCAGACAACGGCTGCGACGAGCTACTCGGCCCTGTGACGGTCGCGATCGACCCTTCGCCACGCTGATAGGCATCTGCCTCGGCTTTTGCGCGTTCGTACAGCTGCCGCTTCTCTTCCTCGGCAGTCATGTATGAAGGATACGGTGCAGCGCGGCCCGAGACCACAGCACTGTTCACGCTCGTCTGAAGGGCCGGGGACCTGCTCGCAGCAGGCGTGTTGGAGCTTCCTGCACTGCTATCAGCGGGGAAAGCGACACCGCCCTGGTAAGAGCCCTGGTATCTCTCCGCTTCGGCTCGCGCGCGTTCGAACAGCCTCATCTTTTCAGCCTCTGCCGAAAGTGGTGGTGCACCTGCAGCGCCAGGTGCTGAAGCATCCGAAGGAGGCTCGCTGGAGGAGGCCAGGTTGAACATGCTGTAAGGCCTACCCGCATTCGTCTTTGCTGGTGGAGCGGGCGATGCTGTGCCTTGATGCAGCGCGCGTCGCTCATCAGCACGGCGTTGGTTGCGTTCCGCCTGCTGTCGGGCGCGCTCGTAGAGACGTTGCTTTTCGGCCTCCGCCGATGTCACAGCAGCGTTCGAATCTACGCCTTGCAAACGCGACGGCGGCACTGCCGATGGCAGCTGCGTCGGCACAGCTTGGTGAACAGGCTCCGGTCGAACATACCTCGTAGTACCCAAATCTGCTGAGCCCGTACCACGGAACGCCGATTGCTCGTTGTGCGGACTTCTGCCATCGACGGGAGAAGCAGTATACCGCGGATCGGCAGGGCTGGCGGTGCCTGAGCCGTAGCGAACCCCTTGTGGGTGGACGAGGCTTCCAGCGGAAGCAGCAGCGTCCAGATACGAGTGCCTTCTTACATCGGGTTGGGAGGAAAACGGCATCTGTTGTTGGTAAGGAGATCGTTGGGGAAAGGTTGGATGCGCATGGCCATCTTCGCTACTCTCAGCGATTGGTGTCACTGTGCCGCTGTGACCGTGGTAGGAAGAGGGAGGCATGAGCACCGGGTCGATCGCCGTACCCAACACCATAGCGCTCTGCGGGCGGTTCGTCGAGTGGAAGAGGGCGCGCGTCTCTTCTGGGGCCAACTCTCGACCCTCGTAGATGCTTGGTGGACCCGCAAAAGCCGGACGAGGAGCCTCGCCCGACCCAAAGGGCTGTGCAGAGCCGTACTGACCCCAAGAAAACACCTGACCGGGCACACCGCGGCCGGCCATACCGGGACCGCTGATGGCGGTGCCTTGAGTCATGACGGTATCGCGTCGACGCAAGTCGCCGCCAGCATAACCGGGATAACTTGCTCGGCCACCAGAATAGGTAGAGCCACCGAAAGAGATGGATCGTGCAATGGCTGGCTCCTGCTGATTCGAGGCGGAAGGAGGTATCGTTGCGACCTCGTCTGGATAGTAGTCTGTGCCCTCGGCGGGTGCAGAGAGGCCGGGTACCCAGCCGATGCGGGGCATGAGACCCTCAGAGGCCGCTCTGGCAAAGTTGGAAATGGTGAGAGGCAGATGATCGATGATGATGGGCTTCTTGGCGGTCTCCACTTGGACGCGTAAGGTGTACGAGACTTCGATGTGCTTTGCGGTCTGAATCGTCATGAGGCTGTGTGTGCGCGGAATCTGGCAGGCGAGATCAAAGGTATGGGTGTCGCCTTTATACACCTTCTTGCCGAAGCTTTTGCTCTTGGTGGAAAGAGTCTCGGTCTTCTGGGACGCAGCCTTGTTGGAACTGAACGTCTTCTTGGCGCCGCCCTTGAAGGTAATGGTTTCGCGAATGGAGAACGAGATGCTCTTGATCTTGATGGGCGCGACGCGATCCGAAATCAAGATGACGCGGACACCGACATTATCGCCCGGACCGTAGCAGCTTCGCTCTCGCATCACTTTGACCCTGATGTCGTCTTGAAGGGCCTCGTGATCGTCCGGGGCCGAGTAGATGGGCCAAGTGGAGTGCAGCTCGTGCTTGTCGAGCCACAGCGGATGCGTATTTTGGATGATGGAGCTTGTGGTTTCCTTCTTGAGGAGACCCTTTTTGCTTCTCACGCAGAGCGAGGTGACGAGCTCGTAGCCGATGCCCGCATTCTTCTCGAGCTTTGCGCTCGGAGGTAGACCCTCGGGGATGGTGACCTGGAAGGGGAAGTCGGCGGTCTGGAGAAGCTCCCACCCCTTTTCCGAGTCGGACTTGTAGGTGTCCTCTTTACCGGCGGACCACACGTCGATGGGACCTCTGCCGATGAGCTCGCCCCAGCTTTCGCCGCCTGGAAGTGTCTCGAGCTTGCGCAGCTCGATGCGCAACCATGCTGCTCTGAGGCCCTTTGTTCCGAGACGGACTTCGACGGTGCCGGCGACATGAGCGGGTGGACGGGCGTTGGAAGCGACGATACCGGGGAAGCCTTGGATAAAGTCGCGATGCGGAGGTGGTCGAAGGTTGAGCTTTGGCTGCGACATGGTCGACTATCGGTGGTTGCGAGCAGCCCCCGAGTGACCGCTCCTCAAGCAACGGTGGTGTGGGTGCCCTCCCTATTGAACGGGACGAGAAGGACGCTTCTCGACCCAATTTGGCGTCGAAAGAAGCGGTGATAGGCTCGCGATGGATGGCGTGCGTATCGAAAGCGGTGCCGATGTGATGTTGTTGTGATGGATAGCGGATGGATGAGTGACAGAAGGTTGTGTTGGAGTCGATCGTACAGCGTTGCCCACGCCTAATGTGGAGAGACGCTGCGAAAACAGCGTGCTCGCCTCGGGCGGTGCAGTCTGCAGAGAGACCCTGAATTCGGAAGCTCGATGCGAGATTTTGCCTATTTCCCTGTGTCGCTGCCCGAACTCAAGCCTAAGCGAGGTCACTGCCAAAAGCACCTGAATTATGCGGTCATCACATTCGCGACCAACGTTGCTCCGCACAGCCTCACATCGCGCCCATATCATGTAGTGACTTTGCAAAGGAAACGACCGCGGGACGTTGCACAACTGCTTGCTAACAACTCCGCAAGAGGACAAGACTCAGCACGATCAGCACTGATGACTTTGGACCTGATCGAGCCCAGCTCACTCCCAGCCCTCGGCGTCGCGATAATCCAAGCTCCTCTCCAATCGGTCGTTATCCGCCATGAGCTGAGTGATGAGAAAGTCGGCGAAATCCACCTTGGCCCAGTAGCTCATGTGAGCCGTCATGAGCTCAGTGTACTGATTGATGGTGCTGAGCAGGCTGTAGCCTTCCACGGGCATGCAAAAGTCGATTCGATGCAGAGGATTGAGAGCACGCAGTCGTGCCTCGGCCCGTGCCTTGCGCTTGTCGCTCATCCCCTTCTTCCTCTCTTCGTCAGCCATACGCTCGCGCTCCTCCTTGCGCTTCTCTTCTTCGCGCGCTTTCTCGGCGAGCTTGGACCGCAGACCTTGCACGTCCGGGCGCGCATCTTTGGCTTCGTCTGCTTCTGACACCTCCATGCTTGAGCGGCAAGCGCTCTCGTCACCCGTCTGCTCACCGTCGCCCTTATCAGCCGCTTGAGGCTTGCGCACAGCAGCCGCTGCTCCCGCTCTGCGACTCCACGACCCAAAGAAGCCCTTGGTCCGCTTGGCCGCCCTCCGCTTGGCAGTGCCAGAATTCGAGTCGAAAGCATTGCCGGAGCCGAACGATTGCGAGCCGCCGTCTTCGGCGATATCGTGATTGTCGGCCTCGGGATCGGCGCGCAAAATGCTGCGGATAGCCTTGTTGAGTGGAACCGGCTTGACCATCTTCGCGTACTGCACGTCAACACAAGGGCTTGCGCGCGTCGCCACCGGGTCGTACTGATTCCAGATGTTGTAGAAGCTCGTGACGGCGAGGCAGCCAAACCTGCCTTCGGCGTCGAGCGTCACGCCGGGCTCGTCTCGAACAAAGCGAGAGGAGCGCACCAAACCGCTTCGTGCGATCAGCTGAGCGCGGTGCAGCACAAAGAAGAGGGCGACAGGGGCTCCAACCGCAAAGAAGCTGTGCGTGTTGAACAAAAGGCGTTTGGCTTCCGCCTCTTGCACCTCTTGGCGGCTCAGATCCTTGATGAGGGGCACGCGATCTGGCTGCTGAGACAGCAGATCCGACGAAATGACGGTGCCTAGACTATGGGACACCACGTGCACCCTCCCCTGGTTGGCCTCAAACTCGGGATTACGCCTGACAAAAAGACGATACTGTCGGTTGGCCTGCTGCATCGCCGATCGGATGACGTGCGCCTTGTGCTGTGAAAGGTACATGGGAATGTCCATGAGCACGTCTTTGACCAGCGTGCGCACGATGGGAATGCCATCGTCTCCGAAAATGTGCTCCATCTCGAGCTCGAGACCGTTGTCGTACATCATCGAATCCGGATCCTCGGCATCCGAGTCATGGTCGGCCCACCGCTCATCGTCCTCCCTTTGGTGGAAGCCAGTCTGCCAGAGGACAGGTAGGATCTGGACGCGGCGCTTATCGGCCAACCCGCTGAGCCCGCGTCCGCCGATCTCGCTTGGCGTCTTGGAAGTGTCTATGCGGGTTTGCAAAAGAGCGCGGAACGTGTTGATGGCTAGGGTAAAGTCGAAACTCTTCCACTCACCAGCCAGCCTCTGTCCGATTCCGTGTATGGCAAGCAACAGTTCCGGCGGTCTTTCGCTTTCTGCTTCAGCCTCAGTCCGCTCCTGCTCGTCGTCAAAGGCATCCGGATCGTCCCAGTCGACGGCTGTGCCTTGGGCGTCTTGCGCGCCTGGCTTGTCGTCCGACTCCCTTTCTTCCAGCTCGTGAGACGGTGCTGGAAGATCTTCTTGTAGCCTGCGCTGCGCCTCTTTGAACGACTCGCCGATATCGTCTTGCTGCGAAGGTGTCAGAGCGCCCGCTTCCCGCTGCACGTCAGAGTCGGGTTCCTTGTGCGACGACGAAGAGGAAGCAGCGCCTCCGTCGTTCCAGACACCGAGTCGGGAAGCGACAGACCGCAGCAATTCGTTGGCCGGCGCCGATGTCGACGTCACGCCACCGGCGGCCATCACGGATAGATTGCGGAGAGTGGTTTTGGCTCCGAATTTGGACGGTGAGGCCTCAATGTGGGTTTTGTCGACGTTCAGTGAGGGCTGGGAAGCGCTTGTAGCGAGACCGCGGAGCCCTTCGTGAGCGTTATCTTTACTGGATCCATCGGCGGAGATGTGGACGTCGGTGGTCTCGGCATCATCGACGACCACCGGTCCGGCGCCGTCGTCTTCTTGCAACGCATCTGCCAGCTCTCTCTTCAGTGCTGACGTACCCTCGCCAGATGCTCGGGCTACCGTGGCCTGCTTCTCCATGGCCTGCTTCTCTGACGCGAACGAGCTCCTTTTGGATCGAACACGACGTGCTGTCGATTTCGAGACGTTGGACCCTTGCTTGATGTCTGTCAGCTGAGCTTGCGTCTGATATCCGCGAATCAGTAGCTGTCCTCCGCTGTGTTCGCCGCTCCAGGCGGTGAAGAACTGCTTGGAGAGGCGATTGGAGAACCCCTCTTGATAGAGACGAGCCAGCCTTGGGCCCTGAAATATGACGTAGCTGTCCTTGAGCGTCTTGAGGCTGCATTTGAGCTTTGCCTCTGCCTCGGCACCCAACGATACAGAAGATTTGAGCTCGTCGGTGTAAGAAGGCAGCCACGGACGAAGAGTCTGGAAGTGGGACTCGAGCTCGGCGGCAAGTGCAGTCGAGCAAGGTGATAGCTTGTTGGACTCGAAAAACCAATTGGCGCGTGTGATGCGGAGCGCCGGTCCCTTCCAAAGGACTGGGCTGATGCTGAACTTGGCTAGATCGGCATCGTAGAGTCGATCGGTGCCTACCGCTACCTTGTTGGATACGTCGTCTGCATCGGGATCGGTGGCTTGCCATTCGTCTAGCGAGTCCTTGACTTCACCTGCTTGCACCTTGCCGTCGGTCTCGGGCAGGCTAGGGAGCTCGACGTTGCCGCCATTCTCTTGCGTCCACCTCTTCCAAGCGGATTCGAGATTGCGACTGTCCCTTACGGAGAAGGACGTCCATCCCTTTCCCGAGTCGAGGGTGCGAAGCCATCGTGTGTGTAACAAGGGACCTTCGTCGTCTGCCTGGGCATCGGGATCATCGTCACCTCCAGCTTCGTCAATCTCGTGGATGGTCTTCTCAGGCTGGTCGTCCTGCGTCGAAGACTGCCTCGACTCTTGGTTTTCGGATGACGGCTTGCGCCTGTAGCTCGATCGATTGCGCTTGACGAAGGGGAGCGAGGCTTGGCGAATGAACTCTGCCCTGCGTTGCTTGGAAGTCTGTTCGGAGGGCGCCGACGAGCTCTCGTGCTCATCGTCGCCGGTGCTGTTGACGAGATCCTCCTTCTTGTCCGCCATGCTGCTGGACAATGCTCAAGACACGGAGCTATCAGCCACGACGTGGCGCTTTCTGTTGTCGGAAGGCAGCTTTCGACGATGGGTGGTGGAAAGGCGCAATGAGGCCGACGGCCCACCCGCCTCACAATGTGCTGCTGTTTCACACTAAATCTCGGCTGAGCCTGAGCAGCCTCCACTTCGCGCACACCAGTGGATTGGATCAAGCTTTGTTTGGGCGCCTCGCGAAAGCGACATGAGCTCGCTGTGGGTGCAGGTACACTTGGACCCTGAAAAGGCTGCATAATTTCACTCCTCCCCTTCCTCTTCGCCCGTCACGATGCACAGGCTCTACTGTGAAACCAGCCGTGGCGACCGATGCCGCGTCACGAAGCGGCGCGGAACGATGACTGCGAGCTTCTCGTTGCTGTGCTGGCTCTCTTGAGGCTGCCGCAAGACGAGGAAAGCATGGGCCAAGAAGATGTGGCTGCTGTTGCAGCACAGCGGCGCATCCGAACAACAGCGAAGCGTATAGCGTCGGGCGCGCCAACCGACGAAGCCTCCTCCACTTCAATCACCTCGAACCTCTCGGCCCTGACCCGATTGTGCGATAACAAGTTCTTGACGTACAGCTACGAGAGCATCCCGCTCGTCTGGAGGTCGATCTACATCGGTGCGCAGCTGCTCCAAGCATGCCATGCTCTCACAGCCTTTGACTTGGCTCGCCAAGGTGCCGTTCTGAGTCGATGCATTCGCGATCTGGACTTGGCGCTCATCGTTGCGGGCGCCGGATCCACCGAACAGGGACATCTCTGTCACCAGATAATCGCCTCGCTCCAAGCAAAGCTACTCGAAGTCGACCCCAGCTGCTCAACCCAGACGTTGCGGCGATCTAGCGGCGACCGTCCGCCTCGTAAGCGGTCGAGATGGGCACCGTCCGACGTCTTGAGTCCAACAGCTTGTGACGCGATCCAAGCTACCACGCCGGTTCTGGATTTCGACTTTGAGCACGCGCCCTCTTTCATCGAATTGGCTGCGCCGGATTCTGTTCTTCGTTCCAAGCCTTTTGTAGTCAGGTCGTATGCGCAGGGCTCGGGCTGGCCTGCTGTGCAGCCAGGTCCAGATGGTCCCTCATGGTCGTCGATGCAGCACCTGCTGCGTTCAGCGGGCCCAGCTAGAGTCGTGCCCATCGAAGTGGGAGCGAACTACATTCGCAACGATTGGGGTCAAGATGTCATGCTCTGGAGCGATTTCCTCCGCCAGTGTCGTTGGGGTGACGATGAAGTACCCATCGGTGCAAAAGACGAGCAAGCAGGGTCTGCTGATTGCTCGAATCGACACATGCTCTACATGGCTCAATACGATCTCGCTTCCCAGTTTCCTGCCCTGGAAAGCGACTACGTGCTCCCTGACTACGTCTTCACGTCTCCGCCCCCTCCCAGCGAATGGCCGACCTACAGGCCTCCTTCTACATCCGATGGTGTCATCAACAACCTCTGGATCGGTCCCGCTGGCACCGTCTCTCCTCCGCACTACGACCCGTTCTACAACTGCTTCGTTCAGGTCGTAGGCTACAAGGAAGTTTGGGTGGCACCTCCGTACTGCAAGCCGAGTAAGATCAACCGCACCTCGGAGCAAGCATCGGTGTTTCAGAGCTGCGCAACAGAAACCAACGTCTCTGCGGACACAGATAACAAAGGATCGATAACAGAGTCTCTGATGGCGAACACGGCCAACATCGATGTCTTTGACTCGCACGAAGCGGTGCCAGAATTTGTACGGAGCGCAGCTTACAAAGCCGTCCTCGGGCCTGGTGATCTTCTGTATATGCCGCCGGGTTGGTGGCACTCTCTACGTAGTCTGTCACGGAGCTTCTCCATTTCGACTTGGTTCTGAATAGACCTTGCGTTGCAATATGATTTCTCACCCCTGAGTTCTGTACCCCGACAGAGTGCTGCCGTGTGGGACCAGGCAAAGTATCAGAGTCATTACCCACGTTGACGGTAAAACACGCACAAACATCCTCCAGTGGCGAAGGTGCCTTTGCTGCTGCAATCACCATCATCGATCTACGGGTTTTGCAGCTGCGAAACAGCACGACATTGAGCTCCTAGACTTTGGAAGCCTTGCGCCAGGCTGTTGCCAGCATGTCAGAGAGACGATCGAGACTCATTCGTGCGGGTGCCGGATTGGTGGTTCGTATCATCTCCGCATTGGGCAACACGTGCTCTGAACTAGACAGCCAAACCCGACCAGACACTATGTATTGAATCTCGAGACCCATCGTACCACAAGGGAGCGAGTCGAAATTCGCGTGAACCTGACCAGATTCGTCGACGGTGAGCCTTACCTTTCACAGCGCAACGCCGCCAAGGAAGGGCAGGGTAACGTGAAAGATGCATACAAGGTCGTCACGGCGTCAAAATCAGGTCTTCTTGTGACATTGACCCCGTCTCGCATGATCCGAAAGAGACCGCCTGTTCACATCTTGTGAAACTGCCGATGCTGCCAAGGCCGAATGCGTATTAAACAAATGCTCGGATGCGGCAACCACAGGCTGCGTGAAAGACGTATGGCGAATTCGACGAAGCAAAGCGACATGAATAATGACGCCGTTGCGACATCGGAACGAGTCTAAAGCGATGAACATTGCTTTTGCCGCCAACTTAGCGTGAGCGCGACGACGTGGGGAAGCGAGACCGGATTCAAATCTCAAGCGAAGCGAAACATATTAAGGAGAACGATGGGAAAGCAACTAGCGTCCACGCGGTTCGCTTCCTGCCCTGAAAGGCGAGACACTATGTCGACGACCAAAATAGTCCTTTCTGGCAAACGCTGAATGTGTCCTAATTGAACTCGCCCAACGCCACGGCGACCTTGCTCTTTGCTTGTCGGATGGCAGTCGCCAGTCACACCGTATTCTATGACGCGGAAAATTGCAACTCCGATCGAGTGAGCCTGTCAACCTCGTCCATCTCCTCGTAAGCCCGGGGTCCAGTTGTCAGGCTACAACCTTGCGCTGCCTCTGCGACTCGCAAACACATCTGACTCGCCACTACGCTGTCCACCAACGCTTGCCGTGTTTGCTCCGCAAGAAGCATCCTGTTCCATCGGCCAACAGGTTTTGCCGATGACGTACGGCTCGACTACTTGATTGTGTGGTCTCATTCAGCCGCTCTCTTCACAGTGCGGAATGGCGGAATCAGCTCAACGAACATTGCCGCCCTCCTGTGAATCGAACCACAACCTCGTCATCTGTCAGTCACGTTGAGGTGCCCCCGACCGTGCAAGGCTGTTCGAGTGCTTCATCTGCACTGGTGTCCAATCCATGTATCTTGCCGCCTTATCGATGTTGACGGCCTCGCCTAGCTTGTACACACGCGATGTCTCCGATCGGCCACTTTGCGCCAGCACTGAGCTCGGGTACGATCGACGTTGCCGCAAGGTTATCAGCCGAGCGCCTGTGCGACAGCCGAACTCGGCCGCGTAGTACAGATGGAGCGTTGGAGCCCGATTGCGACTAGATAATCGGTGCATGTAGAGCCAGTCTTTCATCATCCTCGGATGAAGACCTGACGGTGCTATCTGCGCCGGTGCGCGGAAGCCTTTACGCTATCAGAGCTACGATTGAACGCTGAGCTACACTGTGCGGAGTTTCAAAGAAAAACGGAGACCCTTAGGCGGAAGCGCCCACATTCAAATCCCGCCTGATCTCGTCTAGAATCTTGGCTCTGGTCGACGTCAGCACCGCCTTTTCGACAGGGTATCCAAAGCGAGATAATGTCAATTGCATTACAGTATGAACTTGGAGATATCAAGGCTGACGTTGAGCGTACAGTGTGATCGGTTGATGATCTGTGCAGCCTTTCCGGACCTGATCTGCAAGCCGCAGCAAGCAGCAAGCAGAAAGGCCACGTGGATTGCCAGCGATAGATCCGTCTTTTGTGGGCTTGTGTTTTCAGGGAGTAAGTCGCCTGGCTGTTTCGAGCTTCTGTATCAGCACCGTAGTCGACCAAGTCGAACGGCAGCGGTGTGGAGTCGAGGGCAAGATGGGACGATCGCCACACAATGTGTCGTCGGAGAGGGTTGTTACTAGTCTCGGTAGCCGAGTGAGGGATGCCGCGCTACAAATAAACGAACTCGACATTGTCTCAGTATCGCTCGGAAAGGAGAAAAGGGGTGAGAAACCCTTTCGCTCTGTCGATCGTCGGTGCGCTCGACAGTCCCCCTAGGCCATTGGAATGCGCGCGGTGCTCTTCGCAGCTCTCTTCCTAGGAAGCATCCTTCTCCATCAGTTTGGGTCAGCTAAGATTTGCGACAGCCAAATAGGTTCCCGCAATGTTGTTCTCGCGGGTCGACCAGGCGAGCCTGGTGCGAACGACTTTTTCGGAGAAAGGTCCAGCTTCCGTATCAAGCCTCGACGTCGGCTTTTCCGCTGGAAATGACAATTCAGTTGTGTGGTGTGCAGCATGCACGCACGCCAGCCAGCTGGTAGCAGAGACAGCTGAAACCTTCCTTGCCGTGTTGTGCGGCGCGATGCAGCCACACAGTAGTAGTAAGACACATGCTCGTCGGTGAGCCGTGTTGCCCGGTCGGGTTGTCTCGTCTCACGGTGAAAGGGTTTCAGGGCAGACCGTCATCCGCGCATTGCAAGTTCCCATGCCCTGGTTCAGCGGGACGACTATGCAGCATCTCAGACACGGCCAAACTCGCGCACACTCGCTGAGGGTGAATGAGAGACAGAAGATCGGAGGCAGCAGCACGGCAGTCTTCTACTTCGATCTAAAAAGGGGAACAAATTTTGACCCACATGAAACACGGAACCAAATTTACCGCGGAAGGAGAGGCAAAAAGGAAAGAATGGAAACTGAGAAACGGCTCTGTCAACGACGGCTGGTCCACAAATTAGCGACGCCGAACGCAGATCGAAATTCGAGGCCAGCCGAGGCACCTCCTGGCGACGGCCAAGTTGCGCTTCTTGCGGCGTGCTTTTGCTTCTAACTTGAGCAGCCCTGTTCGCTTGTCGCTCTCTGCTCGCCGCAGATTGTGTACGAACCGATTACTGTAGCTTGGCTCGCGTCCACTTTGCTGTGCTCCTCGCTTCTCTGTTTCTCCTCTTTGTGCATTGAGTGCTTGTGTCTCAGACTTCATCTGGACCTGACCAAGCCTCAAGCTTCATGTGCAGCGACGCCAGCTCGCTACTATCCACGCCCGTTCGATTGTCAAGTCGGCTCGGCGTTTTGCCGTAGCGAGCGGCAGCAGTACGCAGCCTCGCCTCACTCTTACATGGCCATGCACGTCTGTCTAGCTTTTCGGATGAATGAAACGGAACGACTCGCCTGCTCAAAGGTTTCACCCTCTTCCCCTTTGCACTGCCGAGCGATCCCACGTCCCGGGCCTTCAAAGACGGTAGCGGCGATGATGATCATCGTCTCCGTCGGGCCAAGCCAAAAGAATGTTCGTGCGCCTCTCGAAGCTGCCTCCTGCCTCGGCCCGCGTTCTTGTCTCGGTGCGGAGGCTAGCCACGGTGGTGTTTCTCCTGGCTCGTCTCTGCATGTGCTCTACCTTCTGTGGCCTCGCCCTGTTCGCCGGCCTTTGATGGCGTAGGGCAACTTGGCTGTGAATCTCGAACGCCCCGCTCGCCAGAGGCGTCCCCTGTTCTGTTCGCCGACGCTAGATACGTGCCTGCCTTGCTCCCTGAGTTTCAAACCCAGAGCTTAGGCACAAGTTTTGCCTCCCCCTCCCATACCACATCGCCCAAGCTCGTCGCCGGTCTTGTCACGGCCATCCTGTCGGTGGCACTCGCTAGCTCGCTCGGCTTGCCACCTCCTCGTCCCGTCGCTTCGCATCTCTACCACCACCACCATCACCAGCCTGCGCTCAACCCATTCCGCATTCGCACCTTCTGTTCATCGATATCCAGCGCTGGCTTACTTTGGACGATATCGTCCAGGCGACCCACAATCACAGCATCGATCCGTTCCGTTCCACAGCATATATCGCATTCCTCGTCTTGCTCGCCCGGCCCTAACGTACCTACAGCCGGCAATACCACAGGACTGCGAAAGCCTAGATAGCCTTCGACCGACGGTTACGCAGATCGCACAGCCTCACCCCGCCTTTAGGGCCAGTGACAAGCCGACAGCTCAACTACGTGAGCTTGACACTACTGCGCAACAGTGTTCTCAGCCGTCTAGAATTGTACGCAATCGCACCACGTCTCTGCTCGTCATAGCAACACCATTTTGGATCTACGCAGTTGATGGTGTCCAGCACCAGCAACTGACGACGCAGAGGCGACCAGCACTTGGCTGTCCCGTAGCTTTGCGCCGTTGAGCATTAGCGATCTTCGCTCTGATCTCTGTCTTCCTCTCGAGTTTCGCCACCGTCACAACCATGGACACATCAGCCGATGACCCGCAGCGCTTCCGTATCCGCCGATCGCCGTCGATCGGCTCGTCCGCTTCGACTGTGACCTCGGCAGTAAGGTCGGGGAAGCGGAAGCTCTCCACTGCTGCTTTCAGCTCTTCGCCCAGCATGGGCCCACATCCTCCTTCATCCCCCATCACGTCGGACCATCCGACCGATAGCATGCATAACGTCTCGCAAGTCGCCAGCACTTCCCGCACCACCATCGACACCATCGACACCGGACTTCCTGCTGCTGCATCGGACAACAACGTCCACCCGAACGCTTCAAGTCATGCTCAATTCACAGACTGGAAGGATCAGCGCCGCTGCCACTCGATCCTAGCCGACTTTGAATACTCTACATCACCGGTCGAAGACCGACGCGATCCACGCAGCTCCAACGCTCGCATCGTCATGCCCGTCTCTTCCAGTCAATCCCACGTCGCCTCGGCTGGTGCAGCCCATGACTTGCATCCGAATGAGACAGTCTCTCAGCATGCGCCCTTGCAGCATTCTCCAAGAGCTTCCACGGAGCCCGAAGCGCAAGCATCTCCCCTCACCATCGGCCCCGTGTCGCGAGCTCAGCAAATCGAACAGGCGACCGGACCTCGCTCAGCACAGCTTCAGAGCTCGCTCTCCCAATCCAGCCTGTCCATGCCGCCGAGTCCGGATCGTGGCATCTCAGCATCTCCTTCCTTTTCTGCCTTCGGATATGGTGCACAGTCTGCTTCCATCTCGCAGCATCGCCCATCTTCTGCACAGAGCTCCGGTCTGAGCAACCATGACGCAAGCGTTCGCACGTCGCAGAATGTTTGTGCCGGCCTTTGTGCAGATTCGAGCCAAGACGACGCTCTCCACGCTCAGGATGCGGCCATCGGCAGCACAGCCGATGCTGCGGTGGATCCCTCGCGGCCATGGTCGAGGACGTCCTCGCTGCAAGCCAGCGAGCAGTCTGCGCTAGCTGTATCGACACAGGAGGCTCTTCCGTCCAGGTCGGGCGCTTCGCAAGCTGCCTTTCTGCTTCAGCCGGTGCCTGCTGCCAAGCGCAGACGTATCGAGGACGCTTCCGCATCCAGCGGTGTGTCCAGACACTGCGACCTTGAGACGATCGATGAGGATCGAAGAAGCAGCGATGCTGGTCCTCGCTTCCCTTCACGGCAAGGTACAGTCTCCGTCGGCAATGGCAAACCTATCAAGGGCTTCAGTGCTATCCACGCGCTGCAAAGCTCATCGTCTCAGTCCGCGGGTCAGAACGCTTCGTCGCACCCTTCCACTCGCGCAATCCGAGCGTTGACGTCAAAGCGCCAGACGAATGCTGCTGTGTCCGGAGCGAGCTCTAGAGCGGGCGCAGCACCGAGTGATGGGTCTGCTGGCGTTCAACGCAGCTCTCACTTTGACAATGTACCTGCCCTCCCGTCCATGGCTCCTCCGCGCAAGCACCATGCGACCTTCTCGCGCAGGATGCCACGCCTTGTTCGTGCTCAGAGCGTCCCAAATTTGCGTGCCAAGGCGACGCTCGACATCCATGCCCCATCGCATCATCGTCTCGCAATCCCGAGCCACTGGGCCAGTTACGTATCGTCGCACGCCCGACAAGGTCGTGAAGGTGCCATCATCTCCGCCAGGAGCAGCAACACGAGGTCCAAAGGGTTTCCTTTCAACGTCGCTCACCATTCCGCTGGCACCGGCAGCTCGCGCTCGCGTTCAACATTCACACCTACCCTGCATCCACCCATTACGCGCCACACGTTGCGCGAGCTTGACCTCTTCGAGATTCTCAAGAACCCACAGCTTCGCCACGATGTCGTCTTCGACCCCAACGTCCAGTTCCGTCCCAATTTTGACGGAGAGCGCGGTCGACGCAAGCGCGAGGCGGGAGAACGGTACTGGACTGCGGTGGTACGTGAGATCGAGACGGGATGCACCTGCACCGCCTTCTCTCACGGTCAGCTCCTGTCGTGCACTTGCAAGGCGAAGAAGAGCCTGCGTCAGATGAATGGTGCCGGTACGCAAGAGGCTGCCAAACCCTTGCAGCAGTCGCGCATTCCTTCGCGCATCCCTTTGTTGGTGCAGGAGCTCCGCACCATTTGTCTGTCCATCCTGCCATCCAACTATCCGGTAGATGCGGCGGCGGCCGACACCGAGGACGCAGCGGCAGAGCAACCCAAGACGGCAGAAGGCAGTGCATCAGACGGGGTTGCCCCGTCATTGCCGCAAAAGTCGACCGTCTCGATAGGCTCTTCGACACCGTGGACAACCACGCACCACCAACTCATTGCGCAGACGCTGGACCCTCACCTGATCTCTCAAGAGCTGCAACACTGCGTGCTTGACGTGCCCTCCTTGGTCACCTTCATGGGTTCCATCCTCAAGCTGCATTGCGCACCGATGCGCGACGAGGCCATCGAAAAGATGGTGGAGGTGGTATGCGTCGACCGCAACATTGGCAAGGGCCTTCGACTCTGCTTCGAGATCCTTGAGCTCATGAAGCTTGATATTGCCAACCACCAGCTGCGATCCGCTCGTCCTTTCCTGGTAGAAACGGCGGTCGACTTTGAGACGCGTTGGTTCAAGGAACAGATCGAGCAGGGCAAGATGTCGCTGGACAAGACGACCGCCTGGATTCAGCAAGCACTGGCCTCGTCCTCTTCCGCAGACGCCGACGCTTCGCGCAACGACGTGGTCAAGGCGTTCAACCAAGGCATGGTTCAACTCATCTTTGATGTGCCTGGATCGCTTCCGTTGGTGTCGCCAGTAGCGACGCCGGTTGGTTCGCCTTCGTCGTCGTCTTTGAACCACACGTTTGCTTCCCACTATCCCGAGACCCTCCAATTTGATGCATACAGGATGATGACGTTTCACAACGACGTGTCGGATCTCACCATCGTCTACATGCTACTGTTGCTCTTCCGACAGCTTTGCGGTACGCCGCTCGACGATGGCGGAGCGCTTCCTCCGTCGGTCAGCAGCATCATGCAGGACCAGCTCAAGGGCATCAAGAGCGAGATCTGGTGTTTGGTGAATGATGCCAATCTGTGCCTTTCCAGCACGAGCGTCCTCCCTCCAACGCCAACAGGGACCAGCGGTCCGACTCCGAGTGCTTCTGAGAAACTCTTCCTTGGTAGCGCCGGCAGTTTCGCCAAGCTGGATCAGCCGCGATGGCGTCGCGCGATGCAAAACGTGCTGCTCCAAGTGGCCGCGCGTGCAGGTTCGGTGCAGGCGGCTGCTCGAGCCGGGCTATCCGACCCTAGCACAGTCAAGGCTGCAGCGCCTTCGGCGTCGACTCAGAAGCTGCTCAACGCATGGATGGATACAAATTTGCGCAGCGGTTCGGCGCTGCACAAGATCTGCCAAACGCGTCTGCGCGACGTTGTTCAGGGCATGCTGGGAGACAAGGTTGGCAACGGATTGCAGCCTACAAAAAGTTCGGTGCCTTGCGCTTCGGCTGTGGCCGCGAGCAGCTCGAACGGTGAGTCTGATCGACTCAAGCAGAAGCGCGCCGTCCCGTCCGAGCTGCGAGAGGGCAAGGACGCCGATCTGACGCCCACAAAGAGGCTTCGAAGCGATGCCTCTTCCATGACACCGTCGTCGTCGTCGTCCGACGCCGCTTCGACTGCAAGCGCGGTGTCGCCATGGGTTGCAACCATGACGCGGGCCGGTCTGGACCCGTTTGCTGCCGAGATCCGTCTGCTCTCGGATCGCATCGCCAAAGTGGCGATCTTCCATCTGCGCGTGTTTCGCAACCTGTACGAAGGGATCGAGTCGGGCCGCCACAAGTCTGTAGGCGGCACCCAACGACCCTGAACGTTGTGCTCTTTTTCTCTCTGTAGATGCTTCACTTTCTTATACCTTTACTGCACAAGTGGCGCTGGTCTCCCTCTGCAATAGCAGCTATTTCGGCTTATCGTCTTTGTGCCTTGCATCTGTGCGAGCCATGCTGACCTGCTTACAAGTTTGAGCGTGCATACAGTAAGAGTTGCTATCGTCGTAGGAAAGAAGTGGCTTCTTTTTGAAAGTCACGCAGCGCTGCGGATCCTGAAATGAGATTTTGAACAGTGACTTCTCCGCCAAAAAAAGTGGACTTTCGGTAACGAGGCTTCATGCAGGTCAGCTGCACTTCGCTGATCAAGAGCACGCGCCCACTTTTCATCCACTTTTCTCTTTCTTCTTTCAACCTTGAATCGGTCGCGCTCACCAGGAGCTGAGAAATATTTAAAACTTATACTGCATTCTTTTTTTTATAAAAAAAAAGGTTCTTGAATGGAAGAAAAATGCTTCTTTCTGTCTGGTCGTGGGCCGGGCACTGTGTCTCTCAACGCCAGTGGCTGCGGGCTTTTTGTTGCTACAACAAACAGTTGTTTGTCGGAGACAAGCGCATTCGTCCTGAAACAATCCGCACTCTGACAAAGAGGTGAAGGCACGTCTTTCTGCCGTGGATTCGGTAGCTGTGGCATGCAATGTCGTCTGACTGGTGCAGGAAACCGGATCAGTGCGAATCAGTTGGTCGAGAGTGAGGCCGGCAAAGACGATGAAGTCTTGGTGTGGATGCATTGAATGCACGTTGACTGACTGGCACAGACCTGGCACAGCGGCGCGCGTCCGGCGAATGACCTCGAGCCAGCGACCCTCACTCTTAGCCTACGTTGTCGTGTTTTTGGCCACCCTGACTGAGCGAAGGCACCAGGCGGAATTTCGCGTCCAATTTTCGACGCAACGCAACTCAAACACACAGACTTGGGGCTCGTGGCGGCTTGGAGTAGGTCAGATAGTAGGCTCTACAGCGCTCTCTCTCTCTCTCTCTCTCTCTCTCTCTCTCTCTCTCTC